GAGGTGAGGAGAAGGATTCTGAGACAGGGAGCAGCCCTACCTTCAGAGGAGCCAAGCGTACAACCAGGTCCTCTGTGGTCATTGTCCTCTCCCTCTTTCCCAGGCTCCAGGCTGGCTGACTGCCCCTTGGCAGCCCCCGTTCTCTCCCCACCCTAGAGATTGGGTGTTGTCCTGTGGATTGGGGGCTGTTTTGCAAAGTCACACTCTGAGTTAGTCCTGAGAATTGTAACAATGCCTATTGTCGGCATCTAGCTTCTTAGCTCCCAGCGTGTTTGGGATTATTTCAGTGCCACAGATGAGGAAACCATACTCTTAAAGGGAAAGTGACCAGACAGGTCACATTGCTGCTATGTCCAAAAGTTAATTGTCCTCCTGACCAAGACAATTTAAGTATCTCCTATCTCTCTGGCCTTAGGCCAGGAATCTCATTCCGGGATTGGAAAAGAGGGAGAAAAAACACGGAGAAGCCTGCCTGCTAGGGCTCTGTTAGGATCGGACTCAACCCTCGGAGTGAGAAAGCTGGGCCACAGCTGCCTCAGGAGGAGGACGGGTGTCCTAGCACCTAGAGGTGACCCTCAGGGACAGGTGACCCTCAGGGACAGGGGCTCTAGGTGGGAAGAGTTCACACTGTAACATGCAGACACCCTGGAAGCTGATTCCAGTCATGACACCCAACTGGTCCCCACGCTTGCCTCAGCAGTCTGAGCTTGAATGTGGTGGGTGACACCAGAATGGGAGGGTAGAAGGTCTGAAATCAAAAAGACCAAGCTTCCTATCCTGGTTCCAATCTTACAGTTAAGGCTCCAGACAAATTTGTTACCCCGTCTGGTTCCTGATGGATAAAATTACAGCTTTAGTGAGGGTGGTTGTTGTTAAGCATGGTCGCGTGGACCGCAGCTTCTATGCACAATAGCCCTGAACCCTGCCCTATCCTGAGCTAGTATCGCTGTCCTGTTCACCTGTCTGCGTCACCCCAGTTAGCCCTCCATAAAAGTTTCACACAGATTACTCCACAAAGTTACTCAGAAGGGAGGGTTGGTCCCTGCCCTGGACTCAGTCCAGACTTCCCTGGGCCCTGACGTCCTCAGCATTACCCTCACAGCAACCCTGCAAGTAGGAAGAAACTCCATGTTACTAAGAAAGAAGAAGGGAGCTCCTGTGGCCTCAAGAAGCTGCACTGCAATCCCAAAGGCACACAGTTCGAGGCCACCAGCTGCTCCGTGGGAGAAGGATGGACAGTCTCCTCCTGTGTGTCAGCTATGGGAACAACTCTGCAGTACACAACAACCAACAGCAAACATTGTCACACAGCTTGAGTTTAGGATCTGTATGTGTTCCTCTTCTGGCCTGGACGGCTTTCTAATGGACTGGTGAGGGCAGCCTTCCTGGAGGAGAAGGGCTAGCCCCACAGGGGTTGGGAGCAGAGCAGGCTCCCCAGGATTCTGCCTAGGTCGAGCACCAGGCAGCCCGGCCTGTGAAAGGATTGAGGCCTTAGAGCTGGCATGCAGTGCAAGTCCCTGGCACAGGCACTGAGGGAGACCCTCCTTCCCCAAGTCCCTCAACAAACTGAGCTTCTCGTCATGAGAGTTAATAGATGGTTACGTGCCAAGGACTGGGGCCCTCTCAATGCCCAAGCAGCTTATCTTGTTTCCTGGAACGGGAGCGTCTTGGCCATCCCAGGGACCTGTCCATGAAGACATGAGTGTACAGTGTAACCTTCTCTTGATGCACATCTGGGCTGGGCTGGCCACAGGCTCCGTAGTCATCGTGGGATCCTGACTTTTCACAGAGTTCCTCCTTCTCACTCCTGCCTCCCATGTCCTTCCTAGGGAGATCTCTGCACTCCTAGCCCTTCTGTTCCCATTGCCCGAACACCTTTCTCCTGGGTTCTGACTGAGCATGAGGACATAGGGATCTGTTCTCCTGTGCCTTCAGGCAGATTCCTTCTTGACCCACCCAGATCTGAGGCCATGAGATTACTGGGTTGGAGCAGCTGGTTACCCCTAACCGGAGCAGAACTGCCAAGGGACAGCTGAGATTCCAGCACCTTTCCCATAGTGCAGCCCTTGCAGAGTGGCTTCTCTCAGGAAGGGGGACTGCCCTATTGGTTATGGTGGCAGGAAGATGGAGGTGGGGCACAGGATGTGGCTTACAAGAACCTAGTGGAGAGGCACACCCTGGTGCCAGGTCCTGCTTTTTTTTTTTAAATTGGTTTTCATACAATCAGTCATGTACATTAAGAAGTCATTCTGGCCTGCTGTTGGCCAAGGGCCTTTACAGACCTGAGGCTATGTTGGTACCACTTCTGGTGAGGAAGTCCACGGGTCAGGAATGGCCACTCACTGGTGCTGAGGAAGGCGAGGGACACCTGGGCGTGAACTACTCTGTGTCTACCTGTTCTCTGGCATGGCTGGAGCCTGTCCTGTTTCTAGACTTGTCTCCGTGGAAATGTGTCCAGAAACACAAGGGAAGCCAGAGGGTCACCTCTGCTCTACCAGCAGTGTGCATGTGCTGGAGCGTGTGTGCACTCCCTGGAAGGTGGTGGTGGAGGGCCAACCCGCAGCCTTTGGCCCCCAGCTGCCTGCCAGGCGGGAACCCCCCACCCCCGACTCCTCCTGACAGCTGGTGGGCCGCATGGGCCATGCTGGCCTGTCCTGTGTGCATGTGTGTGCGCCTGTGAGGAGAGGTGTGAGAGGGGGCGACAGCAGCCCTGCACCGGAAAAGCACGCTGGTTTCTGTTTCAAAGGGCAAGGGTGTGTGGTTCTGCAGCTGCTTATGCGGCATTTTCTCCACTTTAAAGAAAACTTCTCCGGGTTGATTTCTTCATCCTTAGAATGCTCAGTGTCTCAAGCTGGGTCTTTGTGACCCAGTTCCTACCAGAGCGTAACTCCCCGTTTTCATTCTACCCCGACTCTGCTGCCCCTCCTTTCTCCTACCTGGATACTTACTCTTTTCATTTGTCCATTCAGTCTCCCTGCAAGTCCCAGGCCTGACCCTCCCAGCCCAGGGGGACACACATACCTGTACTATCATAAGGTGTCAAGCATACTATTTACTGCAGAAGGACATTTCTGAGTTCAGTTTTTTGGTGGGAAAGAATGGATGTAGACATTCTCAGGCTAGGGACCAGCATGGAATGTGATATGCGAGAACACAGACCGGTTCTGCTTAGGTCCAGCCTACTCTGGACAGGGCAGAGAAGATGAGGAGGCAAAAGCTGGTAGAAATCTCTAAGCCCTTATGAAGAACCCTGAAGGACCGTGTAGTGAGGTGCCGTCAAGTTGACTACAATTCAGAGACCCTGTGAACAACAGATCTGAGCCTAGTTCTATCCTGCACCATCTTCATCATCTCTGACACACTTGACCCCATTGCTGCAGTCAACCCTCCACTTTTCAAAGCATGATGACCCTTCCCAAGGAATAGCTGCTCCCAACAACATGCCCAAAGAAGTGTAGAAGGGGCATCTTCCTCATAGGCTGCCAAAGGACAATCTCTGAAGGGGGCTGCACAGAGGACAGGGGGTTCAGAATTGCTTTCTAAAGACTGAAGGCTAAGGATGAGTGGTAATTAGTGAGCAGGAAATGTGAGCTCTCAGGTGGAGGATGATGCTAGACAGCTTGGCTGAAGCACAGGAGAGGACACTGTAAGAACCCGTCATTCTGTAGCAGGGGAGCTGGGACTGGGGCCAGAGGTGATTTCCAGTGTTGGAAATAGGAGAGTTGGACAATGGCTGTGACTCAGTGGGCAGGAAATGAAGGGAGCCTGGGGGATTGAACCCCTCAGGACATTCCATCAGGTTGATACATTTGGGCATAGGCAACCTTCTGGAAAAGGGCTGGCCAGTCATGTTGCTCCAAACCTCACCGGCCAGGCCGAGACACCAAGCCAAGAGGGAACTCAAAGAGTGGCACCTCTGTAGCAGAACTAAGTTTCTTCTGTTTGCCTGAATTGTACCTAAACCTGTCATCTCTTTACCTGAGCTGTAATGTCTGCTTTCTGCTCAGGGTCTTAGGTCGAACTAGGGTGCGTGTTAGTCCTTCCCCATGTTGAGAAACACTGGGGCCTTTTCTAGAAGCTCTATGACTGAGCAAACTCAGAGGTCAAAGAAAGAAAACCCATGTTTGATGAGCTCCCTCTATGTTCCGCATCAAATGCTGTATTCTTGGAAGTTTTGATCTTCCCAGCAATTTCACGATGCTGGTGTATGTTAACCACTTATCACAGGTGATGAAATGGGGCAGAGAGGATGTGACTCCCAAGGCCGCACAGCTAATGCAAGGTGGGGCTCATGCAGGGAGGCGCTGGGGTCTGATCCATAGCCCCTGCATGTGCTCTGCCTTCTGGAAAGACCTTTTGGTCAGGCTTTGTGCTTTACACAGGGAAATTGACTTCCTTGTTAGTGTCCGAGCAGGTTTTCTGCCGTCAGTTCTTTGTCTTCCGCTAGTTCATGCTTTGTAAAGGCAGAGGTGTGTGCCCTTTGGGGGCTGGGACAGGGAAGCTTGTGCAGCCCCTGCCCTAGGAGGTTACTAGGCCTCTTGCTCGAGACATGAGTGGTAGCCTTTCAGGGATGGGCAATTTCAGGGATGCACAGTTCTAAACGTGAGATCTGCCGAGCTGGCCCTGTCCCAGAGATTTAGGATTTGGTTGCTGTGTGTTTTGTGTTGGAAAATGGGCCTTACAAAACAGCCTGGAGACCTGGTCCTTCCGCAGTCCAGCTTTTCTCCAGATTAGAGTGATCAACCTCTGTTCTCAGAGTTGGAGACGGGATGGTGATAGGCCGGAGCTCATTGCTCCCCCAGACAACTCTTCCTGCCCTTTGCAAAGCTCTCTCCTGAGCCTACCCCATGCCTTTATATAAATGCAAGTGATCATGTCCCTCGGAGGGGGTTCTTTCTGTGGTCTCTCTCAGAGGAGATTGTGGGAGTGAGTGAGGAAAGCAGGCCCTGACCTCTCTGAAGGGCCCCAGCCCCACTGTACTGTCTTCATTCCCTTCCTAGTTGACATCCGTGAGATCAAGGAGATCCGACCGGGGAAGACATCACGGGACTTTGACCGTTATCAAGAGGACCCCGCTTTCCGGCCAGACCAGTCCCACTGCTTTGTCATCTTATATGGCATGGAATTCCGGCTGAAGACCCTCAGTTTGCAAGGTGAGAGCCCAGGGGCTAGAAGAGGGGGGACTTGTTTTAAGGGGAATGGCCACCAGTTCCTAACCTAGTAGAAGGCATGGACTTCAGCTCAACTGATGGCCCCTTGCTCACAGCTACATCTGAGGACGAAGTAAACATGTGGATCAAAGGCTTAACTTGGCTGATGGAGGATACACTACAGGCAGCCACACCCCTGCAGATTGAGAGGTGAGAACCATCCCTGGCCTTGTTAGGTTGGGGACATCAGAGACGGGGGGAGTGGGCGGCTCTGGGCTTAGCTGGAGCAGTGACCTTACCTCAGGCTTCTCTCTCAGGTGGCTTCGGAAGCAGTTCTACTCAGTGGATCGGAATCGGGAGGATCGGTAGGTACCGAGCGCTGCTTCAGCCCAGCTCAAGTGGGTACGAGCAGCCAGGACAAGAACCAGGTCTCTGAGCAGCTGCCCAGAGCCCGGCTACCCAGCCCTTCTCCTTCCTCTATCTCTTGGCCTGAAGCTGGACTCAGGGGAGCCCGGGGACCTGCTCCAAGTAGGCTGGGGAGGGTTAGATAATTTTGACATAAATAACTTTTTACAGAAAGCTCTGAAGGGGCTCTGCTGAGGCAGGAGGTCTGGGAGTTGTGTCAGGAAGTGGTGCTCACAGCTCTGAGATGGGTGAGCCGTGAGGGAGGCCAGTGCTGGGTCCTCGCCACTGTGAGCAGAAGCAGGAAATGCAGCGCTGGAGGACAGGGTGAGGGGATGAACCACACTGTGGTCCTTGTGAGTGGACTGGAGGCTGCTGTATGAGGGTAGTCCTTCAGGTCAGCGTGTGTGGGCTGCGATGGGGCAGCCAGCGCGGCTGGAGAGAGAGAGAGCAAAATGGCTAGAGACTGACAGCTACAACCTAGCTTCACCTTTCTTCCCCAGGTCATTTTAAAAACTGTAGTTTGAGGGAAAATTTACAAAGCAAGTTAATTTTTCACTCCATTGTTCATACACGTTCAGTTACGTTAACCTCAGTACCCACAATGTAATCACACATTTCCCGCTTCCTCCCTCTTTTCCGTTTCCTTTAATCCGTCTATGCCTCTCTGCGTCTTCCCTTCCTTTGGTGATAGGCTCATCAGCCTCTTAATACGTGCTTGTTAGCTGTTCATCTAATTTTTACACCCCTCTCCCTCTCTTCCCATTCCTGGTAACCATTCAAGAATGATTTTGTGTGTAGACCTTTCCTTAGCTTTTTTTGGTGGTGGTTCTATTTTTTTTATTTCTTTTTATTGGTTTGCTTACAAAATCCATGTCCATTGTGTTTCACACTATTCTTCATTGACGTTGCGTCTCATACACAATTCTCATGCATTATGTTTTGTAAAATTAATCACCATTGGACCTTGCCCATCATTACTCTGTCTTTTTGCCTGGACCCTTCCCATTTTCTTCCCCTTTTCCCCCCTTAGCTTTTTTTTTTTAAAAAAAAATTTTATTTTATTATTTTTTGTGTGTACCGTCAAATTGGATCTGACTGGTACAGGAGGAGATTGTCCCTCCTTCTCCAGCAGAGCATCTGGTGGATCCCAACCATGTATCTCTGGGATTGCAGTGTAGCTTCTTGCCACTAGGCCACCAGAGCTCCCTCCCCCTTTAGCTTTTAATACAATATTTGTGCTTTTGTAACTGACTTCTTTCTCTTCAGCATAATGTCTTCTAGGTGCATCTATGTTACGAATTTTTAAAAAATTCTTTATTGTTGCATAGTATTGTGTACCATTATAATACTACTAGTTTTTAATCCACGTAACTGTTAATGAACATCTGAGTTGTTCCCATCTCTTTGCTATTATAAATAATGCTGCGTTGAGCATGGATATGCATATATCTGTCTGGGTGGCAGCTCTTAGTTCTTTGTTATGTATACCTACTAATGCCGTTCCTGGTGTTTCTGTTCTCAACTTGCTAAGGATATGTCAAACTGCTTTCCGTGTGGCTGCACCGTTTACATTTCACCAGCAGTGTATGGGAAGTTCCAGTCTCTCCACATGCTTATTTGCTGTTTTAGTGAGCTGTGTTTTTGTTCCTGGAGTGAAATGCTATCTAGTTTTGATTTGGATCTAATAGCTAATAGCTCTCTGATACAGGTCAGAGCTGGATAATAACTAACGATGATAAAAGAAGGATCGATGCCTTTGAGATGTGGTGCTGGAGAAGAACATACCTTGGACTGCCAGGCAAACAAACAGGTCTGTCTTAGAGAGACATGCTGCTCCCTGGAGGCAAGGATTTTGCAGCTCTGTCTCACATATTAAGGGCACATGGCCAGGAAGGACCAGTCCTTGGGGAAGGACATCATGCTTGCTTGGAAGGGTGTAGGGACAGTGCAGAAGAGGAAGACCCAGGATAAGATGGATTGACTCTGTCTGGAGGAATGGGATTAGGTCTGTCAGAAACGGTGAGATTGGCTCTGGATAGGGCAGGGTTCAGAGCTGTTTTACATAGGGTCACTATGACTTGCAGGCAACTTGCTGGTACATAACAGCAACAACAGTGGCTAATGAGCAGCTCTGGTGGTGTATTCTGTAGTGAGTGACGTTGCTGCCCCAGAGTTGATGTCCTTCTGGAAGTTCGAATCTACCAGAGACTCCTGGGAGGAAGATAGGTGTTCTCCTACAGATCTGAAAACCCACTGGAGCGTCAGCTCAACAGCACTGAGTTGTGAGTTTGAGTAGTAAATGATCTTGAGCATTTCTTCTTGCGTTTGCTGGCCGTCTCTGTGTCTTGGGTGATGACTTTTCATGTCATCTCTGCCTGATTTTAAAGTTGATTTGTCTTTCTTGTTCTTACTGAGGTGTTGGAGTTCTCTGTAAATTTAGAGATGAGTCCATTTGACAGATAAGGCCAGATAGTTTTTTCCCAATCTGTAGTCTCTCTTTTTTACTCTTTTGGAGAAGTCTGTTGATGCACATAGAATTTAATTTTTAGAAGGTTCAAGTCATCTAGTTTATCTTCTGATGTTTTTATGTTTTCAGTTATGTTTGATAGTCTTTTTTACCATAGATTAGGGCTCATAAGTTTTCCCTAATTTTTCATTTGGTGAATATAATTTTAGGTTTTATACCTATGCCTTTGATCTACCTTTTGTTTTTTGTATAGAGTGTAAGGTATAGCTCTTGTTTTAGTTTTCTTTAGAGAGCCAGTTTTGCCAGCACCATTTGTTAAAGAAGCTGCCTTTTCCCCAATTAATGGATTTCATCTCTTTGTCAAAAATCAGTTGCCCATAGGTGATTGTATTTATTTCTAGGTTTACCATTCTGTTGCGTTGATTTCTGTATCTGTTGCTGTACCTGTACCAAGCTGTTGTGATCGCTGGGGCTCTGTAGAAGGTTTTGGGATCAGGCACTATAACGTCCTCATTTGCTTTTACTCTTCAGTAGTGCTTTGGGGCCTCTCTTTTCTTTCCATAAAAAGTCAGTGATTTCTTTTTCCATTTCTTTGAAGAATGACAGAATGTGGATCTGACTTGTGTTATATCTGTAGGTCATATTTGGTAGTATTGACATTTTCACATTATCAAGTCTTCCAGTCCATGAGTATAGTGTCTTCTTCCCTTTATGTAGGTCTCTTTGGCTTTCTTAGAGCTCTGGTGACCTACTGGCAGGAAGCTCCAGTGGACTCCTTAAGGCACACAGTTCAAATCCACAAGCTGCTCCATGGGAGAAGGCTGGACATTCTCTTCTGTGTGATTAACTGCCTCTGAAAACCCCCTGGAGGGTCCGCTATGGGTCGGTTCTGACTCAGTGGTACACCACAACAACTTTGGGTTTCTTAATTCAGTATTTTGTCCTTTTCTTTATATAGATCTTTTGTGTCTCTGGTTAGATTTTTTCCTATATGTTTCATCTTTTGACTGGCTATTATAAATGGTATTGTTTTCCTTATTTTCATTTCAGAGTTCTCTTTGTTACTGTAGAGGAATCTGACTGGCTTTTGTATAGTGATCTTATCCACTGCCACTTTGTTAAATCAGTTAATTAGATCCCGTCATTTTCTTGCTGGAGAATGCTTGTGTTGTAGTCCATAGAGAGTCACTGCTAACTCAAAGGTGGTGGTTCGAATCCACCAGTGGCTTCCAGAAGATAGGTGGACAGTCTCCTCCCAAGCGATTTACTGTCTCCAAAAACTCACTTGGAGGATCAGCTGTGGGTCAGTTTCGGCCTAGTGGCAATGACGGAATTTTCTAGCTGAGTCTCTGGGATGTTTTTCTATATATGTTGTTACTGATAATGTTGTTTGCCACTGAGTCAGAGCCAACCCTCCGACGGGTTTTCAGAGGCAGTAAATGGCATGGAGGAGAGTGGTCCTCTTTCTCCCCCAGAGCAGCTCATGAATTCACGTACCTTTGGAATTGCGGTGTGTACTAGGCCACCAGAGGGAGAGGCAGTTCCTTGAAGAAGGACGTCGTGCTTGGAAAGGTGGAGGGATGGCGGCGAGGAGGAAGTCCCACAGCCAGGTGAACTGCACAGTGACTGCAGCAGTGGCCTTGAGTGTGTCAGACGGTGCGGACGGCACCGGAGAGGACAGGCTTGTTCATGGGGTCCCTGAGTCGTCGTCAGCTCGACAGCACCTGATGACGATACACATTCATGTGGTTCATTTATTGACGCAGTGCAGTACATTGGTTGGTTTTCTAACGCTGGAGCGTACCTGTATACCCGTATGAGTTACACTTGATCGTAATGAATGATTTTTCTGATAGAATGCTGGATCCGCTGACTAGGATTTTGTTGAGAATTTTCATGTTCAGGAAGGATACTGGTCTATAATTTTATTGTTTGGTGATGTCTCGACCTGATTTGTTTCATAAAATGAATTAGAGAGTGCTCCGTCATTTTTCGGGCTTTGATATGGTTTGAGTTGATGAGTAGAACCGGTTCTTCCATGAATGTTTAGTGGACTTCACCAGAGAACCTCTCTGGACCAGGGCTTTTTATAGTTGAAAGTGTTTTTGTGACTTGTTGAATTTCTTCATTTTGCTGAGTACGTTGACATTTTCTACCTGTGTTTGTGTTAGGTTAGGCTAGGTAATTCATTACTAAAAGTTGTTGGAATGTAGTTATTAATACTGTCTTTTTAATTTCAGTTGATTCTGTTGTGGCATCACCTGTTTGTGTGATTGGCATCTTTCCTTTGTTAGGTTGGCCAGGCTTGTCAATTTTATTAAGTCTTCGAAAGAAATTGTTATTTCTATTGTTATGTTTTCGGTTTCCTTTAATCTTTCTTTACTCTGGAGACTGTTGGCACTTCTTGCTGTTCTTTTCTAATTGCTGGACGTGTTGTATTAGGACATTTGTTTTTGCTTTTCCTTTTTGATGTGTGACCTTATTGCTAAAATTACTCAGTTGACCTCTAAGTACTGTGCTGACTGTGTCCTGAAGATTTTTATATACTGTATTTTCTTGTTTGTTTCAGGAATTTTTTTTCTTCTCACAATGTCCAAGCAGAGTGTTAGTTTCCGCAGTTAGTACTTGATTTTCCTCCTTGATCTTCCTGTCTCTGATTCCTAATTTTCTAGCACTCTGAGTTCAGAATGTGCTTTGTAGTATTTGTGTGTTTTGTGTTGTTTTGTCGTTAACTGAGGCTTGTTCTGTGTCCTAACACACCGTCTGTTCTCTCGGGAGCTCCAGGTGCTCTGGAGAACAGCGTTTATTGTGCTCTTGTGGGCGGAGTGTTAAATGCAGGTCTATGATACAGGCCATGGTTTTTGCAATCACTTGTTATGCATCAGAGATTGGACAATGACTAGGGAGGACAGAAGGAGAATTGACGCCTTTGAGCTGTGGTGCTGGAGAAGAGTATTGAATGTACCATGGACTGCCAAGAAAACAAACAGATTCATCGTAGAGAGGATTAAACCAGGCTGCTCCTTGGAGGCAAGGATTCTGGGGCTTCGTCTGACATACTTTGGACATGTTGTAAGGAGAGACAGGTCTTTAGAGAGGGACATCATGCTGGGTAGAGTGGAGGGACAGCGCAGAAGGGGAAGACCCTCTATGAGGTGGATTGATTCAGTGACTGGGGTAATTGGGATGGGTTTGTCAGAGGCAATGAGATTGGCACAGGACAGAGCAGGGTTTAGGGCTGTTGTACATAGGGTCGCTATGAGTCACAAGCGACTCGACGGTACATAACAACAACAACATGAGATGAAGTTGTTTACTTGTATTAGTTCTTCAGCAATTTTTAGTTTCTTCTGGTCATTGTATCCTTTGCTAAAAGTGGTGTCATGAAGACTCCCACCGTTGATGTGGAATTGTCCACTCCTCCACTCAGATCTCAGAGTCTGATTGATGTGTCTTGCAGCTCCGTCTTAGGGTACCAGGATATTATAATTATCGTTATATTCTCTCGTTCAGTTGACTGTAATCATTATATACTGTCCTTTCTTGTTTCTTTTTTTTGGGGGGGGGAGACTATTTTATAAAAAATCAATATCGCTACCCTTTCTCTTTTTTATTTGTATTTGCTTGTCATTCTTCTCCTCCCTTTGACTTTTAATCTTTGTCCTTATGTCTAAGATAGCTCCTGTTGTTGTTAAATGCCGTAGAGTCAGCTGTGACTCCTAACAACCCTGTGAACAGCGGCTCTGAGCCCTGCGCCTCCTGGACCGTCCTCACGGTCCCCGGCACACTCGAGCCCACAGTTACTGTCACTGTGTCAGTCCATCTCATGGCTGGCCTGTCCCTCCTTCTCTGCCTTTCCACCTTTCCCAGAAGAATCTCCTTTTTTGAAGCATTATCTCCTCCTAACAACGTGCCCAGAGTCCGTGAGGTGAAGTGTCACTGTCCTTGCCTCCAAGGAGCACCCGGGCTGCACCTTTTCCAAGACATAACATTTGTTCTCTTGGCGTAGTCCAACACCACGACTCCAAACATCTAGAGCTGTGATTTAAGTCATTAATTAATCACTTAAATGATTTAAGAAGTGTTAAAAATCTTGAGGTGGGATGAGATGGTGTCGGTTCGTGCAGCTAGAAAAAGGAAGTGGTTCAGTGGCTGGTTTCAGGCCAGTCTGGGGTGAGGGCCTGGAGAGATTGGGAATGAGGGAAGCAGGCTGGAGAGTAGCAGCTCTCAAGAGGAGACAGGAAAGTGCAGCGTTCTGGAGCCCAAGGAAAGCGTTCCAGGAGTGACCCGCCTCCCATGCCAGGTGTTGCCGAGTGTGCTGGGGGCTGACTTGGGGTCAGTAGCACAGGTGATCGAGAGGAGCAGTGTCAGGGTGATGAATGGGAGGCTGGGACTGGAGGGAACTCCAGGGAGCGAGCAGAGAACATGGGTGCCTCTTCCACGGCTCCTTGCTTTGGAAGGCTGCAGAGAAGCGGCCTTGGCTGGAGGAGTAGGCAGAGGAATCACAGCGGGTTGGCACGCCTATGAGGCAGATGTCAGAGAGGGGAGGTTAGTGATTCAGATCTGGGGGACCTGTGTCCAGAATGGCCCTAACGGTCCCTGGCTCTCGGCACTGAGCTGGCTTAAGCAGTAGTTCAGTGGCCTGGACAGGGAACGCTCTCACAGGACAGTGGTGGCTCTCCGTGCAGTGGACTGACATGGTGGTGCAGCCTGCAGCCCATGCGGCAGGAGCGGTAGCTGCCTGCCCTCCCTCCCTGATGCATCCCCCTGGGGCTGGAGCGCGTCTTCTCTGGCCGAGCGCCTTTCCTGGAGGCCGGCACCCCATTAGGCCCTCAGTCGGTGCACAGTCACAGCACTTGTGTTTGTCGGAGGACGCCGATCCCCACACACTTCATCCTGGTGCCTGGTGTGAGGAGGCCTTTGACAGCAGGTTCTGAAGATGCTGCTCCGGCCACCCAGTGGGGAGTCCCCTGCTGAGCTACTCCCCACGGGGAGCACGCACAGGCCGTGCCAGGAAGTTAGTGGTGTGGGTGGGGAGAGTTGGCCTCCCGCTGTCTGGAATATGAACACCGAGAGAAATGAAGGCCCAGAGTAAGGGAGGAGTCCTTGGTCACTGCACGGTTCTGATCCAGTCTCCTCTCAGGACGCCAGACACCCAGTAGTCTTGTGCCTCTCCGGCCCAGGTGGCTCAGCTGGGTAAGGCCACCGGACACCCCCTGTTTTCTCAGTATATCAGCCAAGGACTTGAAGAACATGCTGTCCCAGGTCAACTATCGGGTCCCCAACATGCGTTTCCTCCGAGAACGACTGACGGTGAGGGCCTGTGGGGGCACCTGACGGTGGGACAGGGAGTGGCCGAGCTCACAGGCTGAGACTGGCAGTCTTGTTGTGTGCCTTCAGGACCTGGAGCAGCGCACTGGGGACATCACCTACGGGCAGTTTGCACAGCTGTACCGCAGCCTCATGTACAGCGCCCAGAAGACGGTGCATGAGCCACCTGCCCTCCTCCGCCCTGGCCCCTGCCCTCTCCCCCGCCCTGCTTGCCTCCACCCTGCTGCCCTGCTTGGGGGCTTTGGGGTGCAGATTCTCCAGCTCTTCTCTTGAGACCTGTCCCCATCTGCTGCCCCAGCCTTTCTTCCTGAGAGCCCCTTTCCCGTGTGGCCTCCTGAGCCCTCGCTCTGACCAGGTTCTGTCTCCTGCAGATGGATCTTCCCTTCTTGGAAGCCAGTGCCCTGAGGTTTGGTTTGAAGTAGGGAGGTGGGGTTCTGCCCGTGGTGATTCCTGACCCAGGTGGGAGAGCACGGGATGGGTGAGCCAGGACTGAGCTGGACCATCCTGGGCAGCTGTGCTGGTGGGGGCTGGGCTTTGCCTCCCCGGGGTCCCCCATTGTTGGTTGGACCCAGCTGGCCAGCCAGCTGGCGGCCAGACCACTTAGTGTCTCTCCTTCCAGGGCCGGGGAGCGGCCGGAGCTCTGCCGAGTGTCCCTTCCGGAGTTCCAGCAGTTCCTCCTTGATTACCAGGGGGTACGGTGGGGCCAGATGAGGGTGTTAGGTGAGGGTTGCACAGTTCATCCCGGAGCCTCTCACCCTTCTCCTCCCCAATCAGGAGCTGTGGGCTGTGGACCGGCTCCGGGTGCAGGAGTTTGTGCTCAGCTTCCTCCGAGACCCCTTGAGAGAGATTGAGGAGCCGTCCCTGTTCCTGGATGAGGTGAGCCCACCTGGTACCCCTGTTAGAGGGAGGTGGTGAGTGACCAGAACCCACCTGGACCCAAGGAGCGGGCTGCTTCTTAGGGAAGCCCCTGTCCCTCTGGCACACCGGCTGCGCTCTCTCCTTCCCACCCAGCCACCAGCGGCAGGGCAGGCCAGGGTTCACTGTCTGCATTTGTCCCTGGACAGTTTGTCACCTTCCTGTTCTCCAAAGAGAACAGCGTGTGGAATTCCCAGCTGGATGCTGTGTGCCCCGACACCATGAACAACCCCCTCTCCCACTACTGGATCTCTTCCTCACACAACACGTGAGTGTGGCTCCTGCAGCCCACCCAGCTTGTTCTGGGGTGCGGGGGGACCTCCTGATCTCACCTGTTCCTTTCTAGGTATCTGACTGGGGACCAGTTCTCCAGCGAATCCTCTCTGGAGGCCTATGCTCGCTGCCTGCGAATGGGCTGCCGCTGCATTGAGTGTGCGTGGGGGCTGGGGAGCGGGGCCGGGGATGAGGAGGGGAGGAGAGGGCCTGCTGCGTGATGTGGTGCCGTTGCTTCGCAGTGGACTGTTGGGATGGCCCAGACGGGATGCCGGTCATTTACCATGGACACACCCTTACCACCAAGATCAAGTTCTCAGATGTCCTGCACACCATCAAGGAGCATGCCTTTGTGGCCTCAGAGTGAGTGGAGCGGGGACTCGTGACCATAGGGCGGAGGACCCTGTACCTGTCCGTCCCCTTCACTGCACCTGAGACATCCTCATCCTCTCTTAGCTCTCCAACTTGAGCCACCACTTCCCTTTCCTGCATTCTTGGCCTGGCCTCCTCACAGGTCCCTCTCTTCAGCCTGTGGAACATCTGTCTGCAGGCCCTTCTTCCTCTAACAATTGTTTCTGTAACTCTGGTTTCTCCTGGGCCGCCCCAGGGCTTAGAGCATTACACACTGGGCTGCAGCCAGGGTGCTCTTTAGGGCCGAGAACGGGGAAACGTCATCTCATGTCCTTCAGGCATGTTGTGAGGGGCCAGTCCTTGGAAGCAGAAACCATTTTTTGAGAGGTGGAGGGTCATTGGAAGAGAAGCTGGGTTGGCGCGGTGACCGTGGCCGTGGGTATCAGGGAAGGTGAGGATGGTGCAGGCCACAGCAGGTTCAGACCTGCCAGCTCCGCTTTAGGGCCGGGATGAGGCCGTCTGCGCCTGTCTGATTTACAGCCTTACAGACTCAACTGAGAGCTGCCGAGAGTTGAAATCAGCTGCTCAGCCGTGGGTTTGGTGTCTTCAGCTCGTTGCCCAGCTAGTTCCTGCCTGTCTCTCAGGCCAGAGAGTTCTTGATCCTGCGTCATGCTCCTCAGTTCTTAGTCACAACCTAACCTGTGGTCACTGGTCTCTGCCAGCTCGCCACAGGGGCACAAATGGCCTTCCCTCTTGATGGGAACACCCCTCTTCTGTCTCTGTGATTGTACTAGTTTGGGGAGCACTTCCATCCCCTGGTTTCCTCTGCACAGTGGATAGTCCTCCACCCTACCACAGGAGATGGGGTCCCAAGTCCTTGACTCCCAGCTCCTCATCTTCTGAGGTCTTTGGCCTGAGCTCCTCTCCCGCCCCAGGACCACAGGGTCTGTGACTTGCTGCCCTGGGCCTCTGCCCACAGGTACCCGGTCATCCTTTCCATCGAGGACCACTGCAGCATCGCCCAGCAGCGGAACATGGCCCAGTACTTCAAAAAGGTGCTCGGGGACACTCTCCTCACCAAGCCCGTGGACATCTCTGCCGACGGGCTCCCCTCCCCCAACCAGCTCAAGGGGAAAATTCTCATTAAGGTAGGAGCCAGAGGCCCGTCCCTGCCAGGGGCCCCCCAGGCCACCGTCCAGGGCTCGGTGGAGGCCCCATCCTCACTCTGTCCCGCAGCACAAGAAGCTGGCTGAGGGCAGTGCCTATGAGGAGGTGCCTACGTCTGTGATGTACTCGGAGAATGACATCAGCAACTCCATCAAGAATGGCATCCTCTACCTGGAGGACCCTGTGAACCACGTGAGGGCTGGGCCAGGCTGGGCGCCGGGGGCCGAGGGCTGTGAGGGCTCTCACTGACGGCCGCTCCTCGGTCTCTTCCAGGAGTGGTACCCCCACTATTTCGTTCTGACCAGCAGCAAGATCTACTACTCGGAGGAGACCACTAGTGACCAGGGCAATGAGGATGAAGAGGAGCCCAAGGAGGTGAGGGGCTGGACTGAGCTGGGGGAGAGGGGATCCCGGAAGAGTAACGCTGAGCTGCTCCACTCCTGCCCCCCTCTCTGACCTCAGGCCAGTGGCAGCACAGAACTGCACTCCAATGAAAAGTGGTTCCACGGGAAGCTGGGGGCCGGCCGGGATGGGCGCCACATCGCTGAGCGTCTGCTCACGGAGTACTGCATCGAGACGGGCGCACCTGACGGGTCCTTCCTTGTGCGCGAGAGCGAGACCTTCGTGGGAGACTACACGCTGTCGTTCTGGTACTGCCCTTACAGAACGTGCTGTGTAGACGTAACACCACCCAGAGAGAACAGGGTTAACGCCTTCTGTTTGGACGTCTGTGTGGAGTGATTTCATCTCTCTCTGCGTTACTCTCTCTCACACACGTGTACACATGCCCATTTTGGGTTCTGCTCCACGACTGCCCTCACCTGTAGATTCTCCCCCGTCTTTGAGACTTGGATGCCTCACTCGGGTGGAAGGGGGTTTTCAGGGCCGTGGCCTGTTCTTACTGCCTCCCTTTGTCCTCCTCAGGCGCAACGGGAAAGTCCAGCACTGCCGCATCCACTCCCGGCAGGACGCTGGGACCCCCAAGTTCTTCTTGACAGACAACCTCGTCTTTGACTCACTCTATGACCTCATCACACACTACCAGCAGGTGCCCCTGCGCTGCAATGAGTTTGAGATGCGCCTTTCTGAGCCCGTCCCGCAGACCAACGCTCACGAGAGCAAAGAGTGAGGGCCTAGGCCGGGGCTGGTGGGCAGCGGGGTATGGGCAGCGCCAGTGGAGCTGACTCGGGTCTGTCCTCAGGTGGTACCACGCCAGCCTGACCAGAGCCCAGGCCGAGCACATGCTCATGAGGGTCCCCCGAGACGGTGCCTTCCTGGTGCGGAAGCGGAATGAGCCCAACTCCTACGCCATCTCCTTCCGGTGAGGGCAGTGGCTCTGGGGTGGGAGGTGGTGCGGAGCCTTGCTCACGTCTGGACTGTCCTGACCCAGTGCTGCTCCATCTCTGAAGGGCTGAGGGCAAGATCAAGCATTGCCGTGTCCAGCAGGAGGGCCAGACAGTCATGCTGGGCAACTCGGAGTTTGACAGCCTCGTTGACCTCATCAGCTATTACGAGAAACACCCTCTGTACCGTAAGATGAAGCTGCGTTACCCCATCAACGAAGAGGCTCTGGAGAAGATTGGCACCGCGGTGAGGGTGCACGGCGGCTGAGGGGCTAGGGCAGAGGGGCTCGGGAGAGGCCGCCCATGAGCTCTGAGGCTCACTTGGGGGCAAGCCCGGAAACGGACGGTCATCAGGACGTGTGCATGAGTGTGGAGAGGAGTCCGGGGGACCCCAGAGCTCATGGAGGTGTCGTGGTCTGGAACAGGAAAGGTTGTTCTGGAGGGAATGATGGCCCAGTTGTGCCAAGGGATGGAGATGGTTACTTGGGGAGGTCTTGAAAGCCAGACTTTGGGGTGAGGAGGCCTCGTGTCTCATGGGAAGTTACAGGCACTGCTGCTCCACAGGGCAGCAGCCACGTGAATGGACATTGGAGCAGTAGTCCCAGCAGGCTGTATTTGCTCAGCCTGGTTGAGACACTTCTAGGGCAGAGAAGGTTGACTGGAGACGTGGATTTGCAGAGGATGGGTCTGTGGGGTGAGAGGAGAAGCGTGCAGGTAGGACTGCTGGGCCAAGTAGCTCTGAGGCTGAGACAGGTTCCTGGTCACAGGCAGATGAGTCAGGAGTGGGAGGCAGTCCGAGCTCGAGACTCCTCGTCATCTACAAGGGCCCTGGCTCGGGGCGGGAGTAAAAGGCCGGTGTTGTGAGGATGAGAGACACTCTTTTTTTTTTTTATTATTTTTGTGTGTGTGTGTGTATACCGTCAAATCAGATCTGACTGGTACAGGAGGAGATTGTTCCTCCTCCAGCAGAGCATCTGGTGGATTTGAACCATGCACCTCTTGGATTGCAGTGCAACTTCTTGCCACTAGGCCACCAGAGCTCGCCTGAGAGACACTCTTTTGACTTTGGATTTAGCGGTGAACAAATGAGCCATCGAATAAAAGCTGGTGTTTCTGTTGAGGACGAGCTGCAGCTGTCTCCACAGTAATGGGCTTCATGCCTTAAGAAGCAGAGTTCAGAATCTCTGGACTGAGGGAGCTCTGGTGGCCTAGTGGCAAGGCACTGCACTGCAATTCCAGAGGTACGCGGTTCAAATCCACCAGATGCTCTGCTGGAGAAGGAGGGACAATCTCCTCCTGTACCATTCAGATCTGATTTGACGGTACACGTAAAAATAATACAATAAAAAAAAAAAAGAATCGACTGTAGGCTCCAAGGGGAAGAGTGAGGCGAGGAGAGGGTGAAATCAGGCTCTGAGGTCAGAGATCAGGGGTCCTAGTCCCTGAAGGACTTGACGGCCTGTCGGGGGATCAGCTTCGTGGGACAGAAGTGAGGCGGCAGGGAAACCAGCAGCTGCTTTTGTTTCTAGGCTCAGCGACATTAACATCCCCTTCTGTCTGTCTCCAGGAGCCAGACTATGGGGCCCTGTATGAGGGACGCAACCCTGGCTTCTACGTGGAGGCAAACCCGATGCCAACGTTCAAGGTACAGACTGGGGCCGCGGGCACAGGCCACCAGGGAGGGTCTTCTGCCCCGTGACGCTTGCATCTCTCTGCTCTGGACCCAACTTGGTCTCTGTGCAGAAGTGGTAGTTGTGGTTTTCTGAGGCCCAAGAAGGTTGAGAGAGCTGTGTGGTTGGTGCACAAGCACAGAGCTGCCAGGAGTGACACATTCAGTAGTCCCCATCCCTGGGGCTCAGCACTGACCCTTCTAGAGGTGCCCTCACAGGTGGCCCACTTCCTTCTGATGGGAGGGACAAGCTCTCCTCTTCCTCTCACTCCCTTCACGTCCTGGGTGTCAGGTGGGATCTTTCTCTTTTCCTTTCTAAGGGGTAGGAACTATTTTTGTCTCATAACTGATTAATGGGTGCATGTGCATAGGCCTCTAGCTCCTGGGGAGTCACTCTGTGAACCCAGAGATGCTCCTTCCTGCTCATCAGCCCCGACTCCCGGGAACGAAGCTCTCGAGGCGCCTCCCTGGCAAAGCCCCGCCTCTCACAGAGCCTCCCTCTGGTGCACACTTGCCTCCCAGGCCTGAGCTGGGCAGACAAGCCCAACGTGTGTGTCCACACGAAGTCCTGGGCCGGGGTGCTGGCCAGGAGGGGCACTGAGTTAAGGGGCATTTTTCCCTCGGCAGTGTGCAGTCAAAGCCCTCTTTGACTACAAGGCCCAGCGAGAGGACGAGCTGACCTTCACCAAGAGCGCCATCATCCAGAACGTGGAGAAGCAGGAAGGAGGCTGGTGAGCCTGGGCCCGGGCTGGGCGTGGGTGGGGCTGGCAGCAGGGCACCTTCCCAGGCCTGGGCCCTGGCTTTGCGTCATCTGCAGGACGTTTGTGCCACGTTTGCTCCATGTGCACCGCCAGTGCCTGCCCTGGTCTGCTGTAGGGGTGAGACCCCCACACCGGTGTCCTCCAGGTGGGAGTGGGCATGGTGGCTGGGGGTCAGCGCTCCTTGGCTCCCACAGGTGGCGGGGGGACTACGGTGGGAAGAAGCAGTTGTGGTTCCCGTCCAACTACGTAGAGGAGATGGTCAACCCCGCAGCCCTGGAGCCCGAGAGAGAGGTGAGAGCAGAGCACATTGGAGGGGGTGCTATCCACAGCCTCACCTGCGCGCACACACCCGTCAGGAGCATGCCCGTCCGCAACAGCTGCCGCACGGTGGCCACGTGGAAGGACAGGTGCTGCTTGCTCGTTTGTGCAGAGCACACACCGTGAAGTTGTGTTTTCACATGCACACAAACACGCCTTCACACGCGTGGGGAGGACAGGCTGATGATCCCACGGCTTTACTTCCTGCAGCACCTGGACGAGAACAGCCCCCTGGGGGATTTGCTGCGGGGGGTCTTGGATGTGCCAGCTTGTCAGATAGGTGAGCCCCCCCCCCGGTCCTTGCCCCCTCCCACTGCATCAGTGACAGGCTCTCCTCTGTGGGACCCATGTTCCTATGGAAGAAGCTGGTGGCTGTTCCCACTCTGCGCTCAGCCCTGCTCTGGACATCCCCATTCTGGCTTCCTCCCATCTAGTTCTGCCCCACATGCCCTCCTGTCCTGGGCACTAAAGTCAGCAGAGCTGAATACCGAGAGCCCCCTGACATCCCAGATCTGAGTTGTTGGGGGACAGAGGCCTGGGGTCAGTGGGCAGGCGGGTGGAGCCGTGGCCTGGAGAAGAGGCGTGAGTCGGTCAGAGCTGGGCTTGGACAGCTGCCTCCTCCCTGACGGTGTCTCTAAGCTGCACTTGGTCTGTAAAGTGGGTTGGCAGGTGGTGCTTCTCTCCCGCCTGGGCCTTGAGCTGCCTGTTCCCAGCTCTTCTCCCCTTGCTCCCTCCCTCAGCCATCCGCCCAGAGGGCAAGAACAACCGGCTGTTCGTGTTCTCCATCAGCATGGCGTCCGTGGCGCAGTGGTCCCTGGACGTTGCTGCGGACTCCCAGGAGGAGCTGCAGGACTGGGTGAAGAAGATCCGGGAAGTGGCCCAGACCGCGGACGCCAGGGTGAGGACGTGCTGCAGCCGGGAGTGCTGGGCGGGCGGACGCACACGCACGCCACCTCAGAGGAGTGAGGGCAGCTGCAGGCTGTGTGCCACCCCGGCCTGCAGCACAAAGCCTGAGGAGCAGGCCTGGAGACAGGGCAAGGTCCATGTAGGATATGTGTGAGTGGGAGACCCCATGAGACAACCAGGTGGGCTTGTTTAAAGGGTAACTGGATACACGAGGCCACAGCTCAGAAGTCCTGGGCCCAGAGCCGGGGAGGGCCGAGGTGTGTGGAGCGAGAAAGGGATGCCGTGGTCACGTGCGAGAGGTGGTCAGCCACCATGGAAGCCAGCTTGGGCCTGCCAGGTGGACAGGCAGAGAACCACAGGCCATGCTCAAGAGGGCTTAACTTAGTGGGCAGGAGGGAGTGAAGAAGCTGAGTGGCCTGGCTAGGAAGGAGGAGAGGACAGAGGGCTGGGAGTCAGGCACGCCTTCTTGCTGGCGGGAGAGAGCTGGCAGGCAGGTAGGTAGGAGGAGATGGACCCAAGTTTGATGGAAGGACTAGCCTGGAGCCATGCAGAACGCCTGGGAGAGGAGAGGTCCTCTCGGGGAAGGGGGCTCCTCCCTGGTGGTCACTCAGTGCATTTAGGTGTAGGGAGGAGGACCACAGAATGGGTGGGCGCCCGTGTACTGGGCAGAGAAGGGCCGATGATGAGGATTTTGCCTGGATGTCAAGGTGCCAGCAGAGGGTAGAAATGCGTCCTAGGGCCCAGGCAGAGGAGGGAAGGAGTCTGCATACAGGAAGCAGCGGTAGAAGAGAGTTAGGGGAGAGAGGTGGGCATGCAGAGAGAGGGACAGGCGAGTGTGTGTGACATGAGAACTGAGAGGCCTGGACTGCAGGTGATGTCCTTGTGTCCAGGAAGGCAGCTGATGCTGTGACAGCATTTCTGCCCACTGTTGGGGCTGGTCACACAGCGTCACTGAGGGCAGAGTCCAGCTTGGGACCCCTGAAATGGGGGTGGGAGGGGATTGGAAGCCAGTGTAGTTTTGAGGGCAGAAAAGAGAGAGGATTCCAAGATGAAGCTGAGGACCGAGGAACTCTGTTGCTTGTGTGGTGGGATGAGAGGGTGCAGGGAATGGGAAGAGGGGCCCAGACCCAGCAGGGGCACCTTTGTGGTTGGGCTCTAGTTTGGGCTGAGGGCCTGTGTGTGTCTCCAGCTCACCGAGGGGAAGATGATGGAGCGAAGGAAGAAGATTGCACTGGAGCTCTCGGAGCTCGTTGTCTACTGCCGGCCTGTCCCCTTCGATGAAGAGAGTAAGAGCTGGGCCCCGGGGGTGAGGATAAGGTGGGGGGAGAGCTCTGTGGCAGGAGTGTGCGCTGTCCCAGAGTCTCGGGGGGGGGTGTCCCCATCCGTCCGTCAGTCTGTCCCCCGGCGTCTCACAGTGGGCGGGCTCTGTAAGCGCTCTTCTGTCTGGCCCAGAGATCGGCACCGAACGTGCCTGTTACCGGGACATGTCATCCTTCCCGGAAACCAAGGCTGAGAAGTATGTGAACAAGACCAAAGGCAAGAAGTTCCTGCAGTACAACCGGCTGCAGCTCTCGCGCATCTACCCCAAGGGCCAGCGCCTGGACTCCTCCAACTACGACCCGCTGCCCATGTGGATCTGTGGCAGCCAGCTCGTGGCCCTCAACTTCCAGACCCCAGGTGAGGGGCTGGCGGGGAGGTGGGGAAGCCAGCGACCTGGGGCAGTCGGGCCAGAGTCTACCAGAACCTCCTTTTGTAGACAAGCCCATGCAAATGAACCAGGCCCTCTTCATGGCCGGCGGGCACTGTGGCTACGTGCTGCAGCCAAGCACCATGCGTGACGAGGCCTTCGACCCCTTTGACAAGAGCAGCCTCCGGGGGCTGGAGCCCTGTGCCATCTGCATCGAGGTGAGTGAGGCTTGTCTGGGGGCAGAGTGCACAGGGCTGACGGGCTGATGCGTGTTTGTGCCAAGTGTGTCCTGAGTGGTGGTTGGGAGCAGAGCTGACTGTGTGCACAGCATTGTCTGTGACTCGTGTGAGGTCTGAGCTTGAGGAAGGCACAGCTGGTGCAGGGTAGAGGATGCCGGCTAAGTGGCCAGCTCCTGGCACAGTGGAGTCCCCAGTGAAGAGGTGCGGACAGGTGGGGCCCGAGCTGGGTCTGAGAGAGTGAGCAATGGCGGGTGAGCTGCACGCAGCATCTGCCAGGTAAACATCTTTCCAGGGGAAGAATGTGCTCCCCGCCCAAGGTCAAGTAGTTTTTAAAACTCTCTGTATGAAAGCAGACAGCAGATTGAATGTGGAGTAGAGTGCAAGGCTCAGGAGATTTTTAGGGCCCAGCAGGGGGCGCACTGCCTCTACTGCACAGTGGCCTTGAGCCGTGGGGGCAGGGTGAGAGGCGGAGGGAGGACAGGGGACACCCTGGACCCTCCTCTTTCTGCCACACAGGTGCTGGGGGCCCGGCATCTGCCGAAGAACGGCCGGGGCATCGTGTGTCCTTTTGTGGAGATCGAGGTGGCAGGAGCCGAGTACGACAACACCAAGCAGAAGACTGAGTTTGTGGGTATGTCCACCTTCCCAGCCCCCACCACCTGTGACCTGTCCTCCGTCGGCAGTGGCCTGAGCCGTCTGCTCTTGCCTTGCAGTGGACAACGGACTGAACCCCGTGTGGCCGGCCAAGCCCTTCCACTTCCAGATCAATAACCCCGAGTTTGCTTTCCTGCGCTTTGTGGTTTATGAAGAGGACATGTTTAGTGACCAGAACTTCTTGGCTCAGGCCACCTTTCCCGTGAAAGGCCTGAAGACAGGTGAGCAGCCTCTCAGCCCAGGGGCCATGCTGCCAGGCTGGGGTGGGGCCCTGGCTTCTCCTCCCTGTGCTGAGGACAGGAGGTCCTGAGGTGCCCGTCACCTCCTCCTAGGGTACAGAGCTGTGCCTCTGAAGAACAACTACAGTGAGGACCTGGAACTGGCCTCCCTGCTCATCAAGATCGACATTTTCCCCGCCAAGGTGCAGAGGACGGGCTGGCCATGGGGGTGGCGGAGAGGGGGCGTCCTCATGAACCCACAGGGGTCAACGTGTGCACTTCCCTTTGTTAAAGCAGGAAAACGGTGACATGAGCCCATTTGGGGGCGCGTCGCTGCGGGACCGGGGCTCAGATGCCGCTGGCCAGCTGTTCCATGGCCGGGCCCGGGAAGGTTCCTTCGAAGCCCGCTACCAGCAGCCGTTTGAGGACTTCCGCATCTCCCAGGAGCACCTCCCAGACCATTTTGATCGGGAACGGAGGTAAAGGATGTTAGGGGTGGGCAGCGAGTGTGCCCCCTGGAGCAGGGCGTACTGGCGACTTGGGAGGACGGTGTGTGCTTGGCTGCCAGTAAGGACCCCTCCATTCCCTCCAGGGCCCCGCGCAGGACTCGGGTCAATGGAGACAACCGCCTCTAGGGCGCCGGCCTGTGTGGGGCCGCCGCACCGCAGCCTCCTCGTGGAAGGCGGGAGCTGGTTCTTGGACGCAGCCTGCCGTGCAGCCTGCGGGTCTTGCAGTCTGGAGCTTGTATTCCAGCAGTGAACGCTAGACAAAAAACCAAGCCATTAATGAGATGGATTACTGTTTTGGGCCTCCACGCCCCAGCGCTGAGTGAAGGCAGAAACTGTATGGTGTCTCGTGTTAAGCACACACACCTGGCCCCGACTCGTGGAGATGGAGCCTTCCGTCTGTGGGGCCAGGCTCACGGCCGCAGCTCGGGGAGAGCGGCCACCTCGCCAGCTGCACCCGGTCTCTGAGGAGCCGACATTCCGAGAACGGAGGAGAGGGAGGAGCAGACTTGCTGGGCCAGGGGAACAAAGTTTACATTGTCCTGTAGCTTTAAAACCACAGCTGGGCAGGGTGAGGGCAGCGTCCCCGCATTTTGTCCCTGGAGCAGGAACGGGAGGAGCGACCGGCCTTGGAGAGGGGCCGCTTGCCCGAAGAGGACACAGCACAAGGGCATGCTGCCCAGGGCGGGGACACAACCCAGCCTGGAAGATACAGGGGATCATGTTAAAAATAGCAGTATTATTTTCTTCTCAATGGTATTGTAACTAAGTTATTTACACCTGCTCCTTGACCGAGGGCAAGCTTGGAGCAGAGCCTTTGCCAGAAGTGGGCGGGTGGGCTACCCCCGGCTGTGGGGAGGGGGACCAGGCAAGGTTGGCAGAGAAGAAACAGAGCCTATTCGGGCAGTTGTTTTTTCTTCTTCCTGAAAGCAAAAAAGAATCTGCTTTTCCATAGGAATGAGAAAGGGATCAAGGGGATACCTGTCTCATGGGCTGGGGATGGGTCAGGCAGTCGGGCGCCGAAGTGTTTATTGCAGCTTCTTGAGCTGGTAAAAGATCCCAGGAAAGAGCTGGGGAGGCGAGCCCGGCTCTGAGCACAGGGGCTGGGGACAGGCCCTTAGGCACACAGGTGCCTCCGCAAAGCCACCATGCAGCACACGCACACCCACTGCCCACCTGTGGGCTCAGGGTTGGTCATTTGCTAGTCTCCTGCCCTCTTACGATCTGACTGCCAAATAAATCATCCTCATGACCTTTCACCTGGTGTGCTCTTTTGGGGGCTTAGGAAAGGCTGTTGTCTAAGGACGTTGCCTGATGCCGATTCTGTAACAGAAGCCCCTTTCCTGAGAGTAGCGTTCAGCTGTGGGCTGCACAGTGCCTCCAGCTGGCGGCCAGAAACACTGCACCCAGGTGGGAAAGGACCCCCACTTCCGCTCAGCTCACCCCTCCTTACGGTGTGACCTGTCCAGGGACAGATCCAAAACCAGTGCCATAAAGACCAGAGGATGGATTCTCAGCTGCAGAAAAAAACCAGAGCGTGATCGAGCACAACTGAACAGACGCAGGTACATGTGTCAAGTACTGCTGAGTAGACGTGGCTCAGAGCTGCCCTGTGAACAGAGCTGGGCCTGCCCCACCTGTGCCGTCTTCATCCCCGATGCACCTGAGCCCACTGGTCCAGGAGCTCTGTCAGTCCTGGGTGAAGGCCGACCTTTCCAAGCATGATGTTCCTTTCCAGGGACTGGCCCTCCTGACGGGGCCACAGTATGTGCGATGAAGTGTCACGATCCTTGCCTGTAAAGAGCATCCTGGGGGACTTCCTCCAGGACATATGTGGGGTTTTGGCAGTTCATAGGATGCTCAGTGCTCTGCTCACCTCCACAGCTCAAAGGCCTTGATTCTTCTGTCCTCTTAGAGGGCCATAGCTAAGTGGCTTTACAGTGACCAGTTTTTTTCTGATTTTTCTGAAGAGAAACACAGCATAGGAAGATTTCTGATGGTAGATTTATAATACCTTTTTCTATATGACAAACCAAAGGCATTTCCCAAGTTGACAGATTTGGGGTAGTTTTAGGTCATCTCAAGCCTGTGCACCATACATAGTGAAACAGCCTGAATCTGTTTAAAATAGATCATTCACCAGACTAGATAGAACTGGTAGCAAATAGCAGCAAACCCTGTGGTCTAGTGTATTAATGTGTTTGACCACCAGCCAAAAGATTACTGGATCAAAGCCACCAGTTGCTCTCTGGGAGAAAGAGGCAGTTTCATCCCATAAAGTCTTACAGCCTCAAAAGCCCAAAGAGTTTCCATGAGTTGGACTCAGTACTGGGGCTTGGTTTGCAGTTAACCTACATCCCCATCAGGTATCCTTTGTTAAGTGTTAGGCTGATAACTGAAAGGTTAGTAGTTCAAAGCCACCATCCACTCTGAAAAAGAACTAGGAGCCATTCTATTTACAACCTGAGTTTGACTGAACTAGCTGGACCAACTAGAGGTGAGTTTGATGTTGCTGTTGGTTAAATGCCTACGAGGGACAGAGAAGCCTACCTCCTGACCATGTCCTGTGGAATCTGAAGGCTGGACCTGGGACTAGAAACAGCCTATAGTTGAGCCCAGCATCTTACATCTCACCAGTTGTTATATGCAAAACCCACTGTTGTTCTTAAGGCCACCCTGTCCTGTGCCGTCCCTACGGTTTGCCGTGCTGAAACTCACTGTGTGTCCATGACCAACCTCACTAAGGGTTGTCCTCACAGTCAAGGGTCCTCTGCTTTTCCAAGCATCATGTCCTTCTCCAGGGAGAATATGGGGACATACCTAAAATATATGAGACTAAATCTCATCAGAATTGGGAAAGGCCTACGCCAGGGATGTGTCCTGTCTCCATACCTTTTCAATCTGTATGCAGAGCAGATTATCCAGGAGGCTGGGCTCTATGAGGAGAAATGTGGGGTCAAGATTGGTGGAAGATCTATCAACAATTTGCGATATGCGGATGACACAACTCTGCTTGCTGAAACTGAGGAGGACCTGAAGCGCTTGCTGTAGAGGGCCAAGGACTGCAGCCTACAATATGGATTGAGGCTCAATGTCAAGAAGACAAAGACTCTTACCACTGGACCAATTGGCAGCATCGGGATGGATGGTGAAGAGATTGAGATTGTTCACAGCTTTAGTTTGCTTGGCTCCACAGTCAACACTCTGGGCAGGAAATTCAAAGATGTATCGTCATGGGAAAGTCTTTTGTTAGGGACCTCTCCAAAGTACTGAAGAGCAACGGTGTCTCTTTGGAGACTAAGGTGTGTCTGATACAGGCCATGGTCTTTGCTATAACTTGTTATGCATTAGCGAGTTGGGCAGTGACTAAGGAGGATAGGAGGAGAATTGATGCCTTTGAGCTGTGGTGCTAGATAGAGAAGAGTATTGAGGGTACCATGGACTGCTAGGAAAACAAACAGATTCATCCTGGAAAGGGTCAAACCGGGCAGATCCCTGGAGGCAAGGATTCTGAGGCTCCATCTAACATAGTTTGGACATGTTGTAAGGAGGGACCGGTCCTTGGAGAGGGACATCATGCTTGGGAGGGTGGAGGGACAGCGGAGGAGAGGAAGGCCCTCTATGAGCTGGATTGATTCAGTGGTAATCGGGACGGGTGTATCGGAGACAGTGCGATTGGCACAAGACAGAGTTTAGGGCTGTTGTACATAGGGTTGCTATGAGTCGCAGGCGACTCGACGGCACATAACAACAAATCTCCTCACCCTTGCTTCTAAGGAGCACTCGGGCAACACTTCTTCCAAAACAGAGTAGTAGTTTTGAAAGCCCGTGGGGTATTCCGTTCTGTTAACCAACAAACACCCTTTCAAAGGTATCAATTCACTGGTTTTATTTATTGCCCAGATTTCATGTAAATAGGAAGCAGCTAAAAATACCATGCTGAGGTCAGGACAGCTTACTCTTTGAAGTGACATCCTTGTTCTCCGGCACACTGAAGAGGCCCTTGGCAGTAGATGTGCCCAATACAGATGACGTTTCTTGACTGCTGATTCCAGGGGTGGTGGTTGTGGATGCAAGTAAATGGAAATCCTTGACAACATCACTCTTTCCTCCATTTCTCAAAATGTTTATTGGTACAGTTGTGAGGATTTGGTTTTGCACCATGGTGTAATCCTTCTGAAAACCTTACTGAACGGCTGGAGTACATTACGTCACCAAACTGAGGGAAGAAAACAAGGTCATAGCTCCTTCACGTCTTGGTGAAATGGATCCAGTCTTGCCACAGCCTCAGGGTGGGCTTCTCCCAGGGCCCCCCCCTTCCTCTCTACCCCCAGGGACTTAGCCATGTTGGAGGATCTGACACCCTGCAGCCACCCCAGCGAAGCGCCCCGGGACTCCAGCCTGGATCCACGTGGTGCTTAGCTGATGGGCTTCAGGTTGTCACACTGCGCCTCAGGGACCTGGCCTTTTAGATGGAGCATAAAGCAGATTCCTCCAGACCTAAGTCAGACTCTCTGGAAGGCCCAGGCCCCTCCCCACCTCAGCACCGCACCACCACACGCTGCGGCACCCGCTGGTGTCTGCTCCCGTACAGGCCTGACAGCCTGTCGTCCACCTAGTGTCACTGGCTGCCTCGGACGGGACCCTCCCACAGGTGTTTCCTTCTGCCTCGGCCGCTTCATGCACCACCAGTCAGGTGCTTTGGATTTTGGACATTTGGAGTTGTAAACCCTTCTAGAAGGGCCAGGGTCTTCACACACATTCACCAACCTCCGCAAATGAGCTGCTACCTTCACAGAAAGCGTGGTTGGTGTCCCCATTTCCCTGGCGTGGCATCATCAGACAAGCTGTGCATGAATTCGGCCTCCGGCACGAGGTGCTGCCCACAGACCCGTTCAGCTTTTACGTCTCCGACAGTACGTCCACAGACAGGAAGCACTCTTAGCGTTTTTCACGTATCACACACAGTGGCGGCAGATGCAAAATGTATTTGTTTTTATTTAGGAACCACCAAAGGTTTGAAGTACCATTTAGGCGCATTTCAAATTGTACAAGCACTTTCTCCCTGCTCCCCTCCCTTATCCAAATCCACAGATACAAAATTTAGGAAATGTGCAATTTGCATCTTCGAAATAGCAGCATCCCCACAGGGGACCTTGTGGGACCTGGAGAACCAGGCCACTCCCCACCTCAGCACCGCATGGCCACAGGCCCAGGGGCCTGGAGGTCTCTGCTCCCCCGTAGGCCTGATGCCACCCCACCCAGCCCCCGGGGGAGATGGGACCCTCTTGCACAGATCACAGTTTGGCTGACGGTTCAGCCTGCCCTAGACAGTTACCTCTGACTAGCACCAAATGAGCGCTTGAGCTGCCCTCAGAGACAGGACACCAGAGCAAGCTGCCCCAAGCCCTTCCCAGCCCTGCCACCCGGACAACGTCCCTGCACCAGAAGCCAGAGTGCCGCGGCTGGTGGAAGACCCGGAGTTGGGACTCGCCAGGAAGGAGTCTGCAGGCCCCTGGCAACTCGCCCGACCTCCACAAAGGCTGCTCAGTGAGAATCAATCGACAGTGGCCGGCGGGGGAGGGGGAGGTTGGCGTGTTTTCTTTTTTAAATCACAATTATGGCACAGTCTGACCTTCCTGACACAGCTCAACAAAGCGGCTGCTCAGAAGCCCTGCGGGAGCCCTGCAGCCTGAGGACACCCACGTCCCCCCTGGCACCCACCCAGCTCACAGGAGCGTCCCGGGGGAGCAGTGCCACACGGCCGGCCCCCACTCGGGATGACCCGGCCACACACACGTCGGCAGACTCGAGACAACCTGGGGATGCATGGCTGTGACTCCCAACACAAATGACAGGATTGGCAGGTGTCAGGAGCGGTTAACCCTTGACCCTGCAGAGTTCTAGGGGAAGCTCAAACGCGTGCCAACTTCTGTAGCCCGTCAGCAGCTCTGCCCTGGACATGTCACCTTCCACACCAGTCCACTGAGTAATTCTGAATCAGCCATTTATTGTGGAAAGAACCGAAAGTTAAACTGAAAAGCATTAACCAAGAAAAGCTATTCATTAACATCCAAATGTCGTGACTTGTCTCCTGAAGGAAGAGGCACTAGGGCAGGGACCCTTCGGGTTCCTCGGGCACCTGGCTGGCCACCAGCCTGGAGGGGAGGGCAGGAGACACGCTGGGCAGCCACAGGGCCACCTTCCTTGCTCTCCACACCTGCCCAGTGTCCTTGCCTGAGCAGCAAGGCTGAGGGCTGGGGAGGCTGTAGGTCCGGTGACAAGGCGGGGACCATGCATTCTCCTGAATCCCTGCAGCCCTGCAAAACTTTAAACAGGTTTCCAACTCCCTGAGGTGGGTGTCTGCACCTGCCTTTGTTTCTATGGCAACCAGAGCTTGCATAGTGCCAGCCCCATTTGAGTCCCTCTCCTGCTCTTGACCTTGATGCAGCTAGAATGGTGGGCTCCTCTTGGGTCTGTGAACAAAGAAACCTTCCGTTGTTGCCAGTCTGCTAAGAGAGAGAGTCCAAAGAGATTCCAGCACAAATTCTAATCATGGCCCTTTGGCAGTGTGGACTGGGCTGGTCAGCATGCCCGGCAGCCTTGTGAGGACCTTGCTCTGCCAATCTGGGGGCTCCCCAGCCCAGTGTGGCCATCTCGCAGCCCTATCCCTGCCCATCCTAACAGGCCAGAGGAAACATACTGAAGTCTACTGGGGAGGAGACGACGGGGAAGGCATCAGTCCACAACTTCCTGCTTCCGCTTCAAATCCAAGGTCAAGTGCTGCCTAACCACGCTGCCCCACAGGTCCGGGAAAGGGGCAGGAGGATTCCGAGGCCCCACGTCTGGAGGAGAGATGAGCTTGGCATTCCACTGACCTGAGCAGACTGCCACTTTGGCCCGAGCTGGCTGGCTGTGCAGGTCCTCATGCATCTAGAGGGTTTTCTTCTCCGGCATATGTGAAAATGGGGGAAAACCCCACAGAAGTACAAGCTTCTACCTGAAGTGGGTCACACCTCCTGACTGCCCCAGGTGAATGCTGAACAAGGAAAGGGTGCTGGGGAAGGTCTTTGGAGAAGCCTGACCTCAAGGCTTGCTTCTGTTTATCTTTTTGGCTGTGTGTCGTCTGTCTCCTGTGCCTCGGGCTGTAACGTTAGAACAGGGAGCTGCTCTAGCCTGAGAAGGGGGACTAGGGAGGCCAAGAGAGGGGTAGTTCAGGTGGGGGGGACCGCCTAGAGAGCTGAGCCCCCTCAGGAGACCACTGCTGGTCAGCCATGGCAGGAACGCAGACAAGCTCCAGTCCCCAAGGGGGCAGGAAAGTAGCCCACGACCTGCCACCAGGCTACTGAGCAGACTAAAACCACAAGAGCCATCTTTCGGCCTCTGGAGTGTGCTGACACCTGGGGGGACAGCCTCTGGTGACCAGCTGGAGGTGAGGCTGTGGGGGGGGACGCACCTGTAAGGACAGCCAACACTCATCTACACCCTCCCTGCTCCCAGAGTGCAGGGCATACGGGCCATCGTGCTCTCATCCCCCAAATGGCTGCCAGTCACCCCACATCGCACTGCTGCCCCCCCAAAGTGTGTGTAGGACACCGATCAGGGCCTTCCGTTTCCAGGCAGATTCCTGAACATGTGAGGTGTCGCCGAGTATGACCCACCACAACTCTACAAACAGCCTGACCCCTGTCCTTGCCTGTGCCGTCCACGTCAGTCATCTCTGTCATACTGGAGCCCACTGCTGCCGTCACTGTGTCAATCCTGAAAATGTGAACCCCTCAAATCAAAACGTTCCTCTAGGGTCTCCAGTGATCAAAAGTCATTAAACTCAGCCAAGCATGGATACCAACCATAAAGCCAGACTTCTTTTACCAGAGTGGTAGTTTGGATTCCTTGGGATCCACAACTCCATGTGAAAATCATGAGAAATCGAACATGTACTCCAACATGGGCTCCAACAGACACTGAAGTGAGATTTTACTCTCCAATGAGTTCAAGTGCATCCAGAGAAGGGGAAGATGAGTCACGTTGTAAAACTGACTTCATCAAGAGCCTGGCCCCCTCTCCTCCCCCATCACCACAGCCCACAGACTGACCCCCCTCCTCGCCCACCACAACAGCCCACAGATTAGTCCCCTCTGCTCCCTCAACACCACAGCCCACAGACTGACCCCCCTCATTTCCTCCACCACCACAGTCCACAGAATGACCCCTTCATCTACCCCTAACACCACAGCCCACAAACTGACCCCCTCTGCTCCCCTAACACACAACCCACAGACTGGCCCCCTCTCTCCTGCCCCACCACCACAGCCCACACACCCCGCTTCTCTCAAAGGCAGCCACATACACTTGACCCCCTTTACTGTGTGTGAAACCACAGTGATCGGTCTGGCCACCGGGCCTGCAGTTCCAGGGCTATCCCGTCAGCCCCTCTGCCACAGCCTGGGGCTGCACCATGTTTCCCGGCCTGTGAGGGGGTCCCGAGCACCTGGGTGGCTGCACTTGTGATTTTGCACCCAGAGCCCTGGGCACCTGCACCATCCCATTCAGCACCACATGACGACCCAGGCACGTCTTCACCAGCACCTTTCATCAGCTCGTTCCTACAAACTGAAGGCCCAGACGTGGACTCAGAGTCAGGAACGCAGGAAGGAGTGGGGTCTGGCCAGTTGGCCGGCTGCGCAGTCACCTGGCAGCGGTGTCAGTGGGAGGGCCTGGGCCACTGGGCAGGGCCAACATGAGACACACCAGTCAAGGTGGGCAGCAGCTTCCCACTGTAGAGACCAGCTGAGCCCAAAGTGGGGCACTCTTCGTCCTGCATTAACTTCACCACATGGCTTTGTTCTTCTTCTTTCTGGTTTGCTGTTTGGGTTGTAAATGCAACATGAAAGCAAATAAAATAACCAAGAAAATCCTCTCTTGACACCAGCTTGAGCCTGTGCATGCAGGGACCTGGCTGCAGCAGACCCAGTGGTGGGCGCCGGGGATTCTGATGACATTGGCGGTGGTCTCGGGTGGGACACACCGGCTTTGCTCTGTGTCCACTCGGGCCTCAACCCAGGCTGTTCCCCGGCATCTCTACAGCCGAGGTCCTAGGGTGTGCGTGGCATGAGTCAAGGATTGAAGGAGTATTCGCACTGCATATGTGGATTATAAAGGAACCTGCGTGTACACAAAGGTCAGGGGAAACCCCAGGTCTGTTCTCTGAAGGGGGGAGTCAGTTGTCATTTGGATTCTGGGGGATTCCCCAGGCTTCTGGCCCAAATAGCTCTCACCCCCAAACTGGAAAGAATTAAAAAAAAAAAAAGTTGCAAAACTTGCCAGGTGTTCCCAAGTCATCTTTTTAAACAAAACACGAGGCGGTCTCAGTGGGAGGACAGGCAGGGGGTCCGAGGACAGCGGCTCTGCAGCTTTTGGTTCTCAGAGGCGGCCAGCTCCTGAGGACTGAGCGTGCACCCAAGCGCCCTCCGCCTGCCTAGCCTGGGATCCTGGCCTGAAGGACCGCTATGACCTCTTAGCCCGTCCTCTCTGGGGTCCCCGACTACTGCCAGTCAGCCTGGGCCCCAGGCCAGGTGCACCCTTGCGGCCCCGGGACCTGGCACTTTGTGGAGCTGGTGGTTTCTGAGGGGTAGGGGAGGGCCGGGTGATGTGTCTTCTGCTGTCCCCACGCCACCTGCTGCTAAAAGGTGGGGAGAGGTGGGGTTACAGGCTGTGCAGGTTTGCACGCACATTTCCACGCTTCAAAGGCACCTTCGCGTGATTTTCTCCTCTGAAACGTGGATCCACGCGTTCAAGGGAACACAGAGCGAGCTCGTGCCTCCAGGCTTAGGGACACCCAGATGGCCTGTGCAAGAAACACCCCGCAGGGATGTGCCTGACGCCAGCACCCTGACCGGGCCCTTGTCACAGGCCGGGGCAGTGTGGGGACCATGAAGACCACCGCCTCCTGAAATGCACAAAGTCCCAGATCCCATCAGCCCTCATTTCATGTCCTGGGCCAGGGCGATGCGGCTGTTCCCTCAAAAACTGTGTGACATGAAAGCAGGCGTGGAGAAAGGGCCGCGAAGCCCAGCGGCCAGGCCTCCAGGCCCTCCCCACTCCCTTCCTCAGCTGCCTGCTCCCTCTCAAAGTGTCCAGATGGCGGAGGGCAGGGGGAGCGTGGAATCATGAACAGCAGCTACACAGGGAACTTCAGTCCAACCGGTAACTTACAGAATATGGTCCATGATTCAAACTGCCACGAGAAAAGCAGAATTAACTAAACCAACTCCAGTGAGTGGTCAAGCACCAAGCACTAATCAAACCCCTAGTTGGATTTATAAATGGTGAGGCGGGTTCCTCAGCGATGATTCCATCAGGTGAGGCAAGCCGGGCATTGAACGCTGCTGGTCACCGCTCAGCGCAGGGGTCTCGTGGGAAGCACAGCATTCCTCGGGGGACGTAAAGCGAGGTGAGGCTCTGGGTGCTCCAGGTGAGGCTCGCTTTAAGAACCTTGCACCAGCATGGGGGACGTTCTGAGTGTGCAAGGGCTCTGCACCAATGAGATGGTGCTCTGAGGACCCTGCACCAGTGTGCTCTGTGTGTGCAAGGGCCTGGCACCAGTGTGCTCTGAGTGTGCAAGGCCCTGGCACCAGCATGGGGTGCGGGAAGGTGTGGCTCCAGCAGTCTTCGGAGAGCAGACACAGGCGCTTTCGGAGATGATGTCAAAGATAATGATGCACTGTTCGCTAACGCAAGTTTCTATGTCACCGAAGTGTTTATAATCCCGTTTTATTAAATGTGTAGAGGTGACTGTATGTCTTAAGAAGGTTCCAGGTCTCTGGATAGGAAAGCTGAACTAGTCTACCCACTGGAGGCAAAGGAAAGGTCCTCTGTGGGCAGAAGAACTGACAAGAGCCTCCTCATTCCTCCTGCTTGGCGGTGGCAGGCCTGCTGCAGCGGTGACAGGCTCCGGGCTAGGTGCAAGGCTCCTGGACGGGCTCTCAATGCCTGGCAGCCGGCCCTGGGATCAGCATCAGGCAACAGAGTCAGGTTTGGCCCTCCAGGGTGGCAGGTGGCGTCCCAGTCCTTCGCAGTAACCGGTTCAAATTCAGTCTGTTTCTGAGGAGAAAACACACACCTGTCACCTTATTGGTCACTCCTCACCCAGTCCCCGAGGCAGCCTGGTTGTGGACACGTAGGGTTGTGCCATTGACTTTGGGGACCACTTAGCTCCACGTGTTGTGCTTTCCTGCTGGCGGATCCTGTCACTCCTGGCCCGTGGGCTCTGGATGGATGCCACAAAAACCTGGCAAAGCTGGCAGGCCATCCAGGACCACCTGGCAAGGCCCACGACGCCCGCTGGAGCCCAGCTCTCCTCCAAGGCCAGCTGCCCAGGCCTCCAGCGTCGTGGCCAATGAGCCACGTCCCACTGCTCCCTGAGCTGGCTCTCAGAGCCCACTGCTCTAGCCTGACCCCCCTGGGCTTGGCTGGTACACGTCCTGCCGGCAGCCTCATTTCTAGCTTCTGAGCCCCAAAGCGGAGTCACCTGTGCAGAGGTTGGTGAAGCACAGCTCTGAGCCTCGGGCTGGCTGAGAAAGCCATGAGCAATGGGGGAGGGGAACCCCGGGGGGTAGGGGGTAGGGCAGCCCCTGGGGGGTGGGCAGCCCTGAGTCACCCGTGCAGAGGTTCACCATCTGTGAGCACAGCTCTGAGCCTCGGGCTGGCTGAGAAAGCTATGAGCAACAGGGGTGGGGGTCAGCCCCACGGGGAGAGCAGACCCTCCTGCACTCACTGCTATCTGTCTAAAGAGAAAGGAGGACGCCACAATGGCAGGGCCCCCAGACGCACACGCTGCCCCAGTGAGGACACCTCTCTCTTGTGACCCCGGCCTGCAGGCCCACCCTGAGTTCAACTCTCACACATGGTGCTCATTCAAAGGCTCTTGTGAGCATGGCCCCCTGGTCAATGCAGCCCCAAGAAGCCCGGAGCCCGGGCAGCTAAGACTCCACTCGACTGTGGAGGAAATGCCCTGCTGGACAGAAGGCCGGCCAACAACAGGAAGCCTTCCTCCAGGACACGACACCAGCCACGCAGGACTCCATGTGGGCACTGGGGCTCGGGAAAGGCGTGAGGACACGGCGGGAGTTGTAGGGGCCAGCATGTCTGCAGGGCCAGCGTCCCTGTGTCTATGCCCCGGCCACTCACTGGGACTCTGGGCTCCAGCGGGGTTCACGCCCACTGTGGGCATCACGGTGCAGGCCACCCAGCCCTCCCCAGTTCATGTGCAGGACCAGAATAGACTTTCTTCAAATGCCCAACAGATGGACACCAGGGCGCCCCTCCAAGGTTACCGGCACACTGGGAAGCAGGGTCTTCTGTAAATGAGGAAGAACTAATAGCACAAGCATGTTCTAGACTATTTCCTTCAAGTGAGCTTTACCTTGCCTGCGGGAGAACAGGAATGTCATCCTTTCCACAGGGCTCGGGAGCCCCAGTGGGACAGCGAGTGAAGCGCTGGCAGGCACATGCCAACCTCCTATTCAAACCCACGGACACTCCAGGGAAGCAAGGTGAGGTGGTCTGCGTCCACGAAGACCACCAGCCTCACAGAACGTTTTCAGTTCCCTTCTCTTCAGAAGGACCAGAATGATCTTCCTTTTGAAGAACGGTGCAAGGCATTCTGGGTACACCTCATAGAACACTGTCTCAAATCCACACTCTGCAGCGTCACTATTTTAGAGCACGCTATTATGGCTCAGAAAGTCAAGGGAGATGCCCAAGGTCTGGGGGATGCCCAAACAGCTGGTGGGTGAGCAGAGAGTGCTGTCTGTCTGCAGTCTATAGTCCCTGTGCCTTCAGCCAGGCTGTTTCCATTTCTCCCATCTCAGCTGGTCCAGAACCTCACTCAGCACTGTTCACCTGGAGGGTGGCGGCAGCATCTTTACTGGTCTCCCTCCCTCCAGTCTTCCCTCTCTTAAATCTACCCCCTCAAACTGCCCACTGCAAGCATCAAAGGCCCAGCAACTAGCACCAGAGAGCTGAGAAGGAGAGATCCTCAAAACTCCTTTGCTGCTTATTCCTGTACAGGACACAAGGGAAATCCGAAAAGAAAAACAGGTCTGCACGCTAAATGCACTGTTGTGTGTATCATCCAGTCAGAACCGACCCACAGCCGACCCTCCCGCAGGTTTTCAGAGACAGTATATCGTATATCACACGAGAGGAGACTGCCCATCCCTCTCCCATGGAGCAGTCAGTGGATTCAAACCTCGTGCCTTTGGGACTGCAGTGCAGCTTCTTACCAGTAGGCCACCAAAGCTCCCTAAATGCAGTTGGTTCCAGAACTCCACGCTGTTTTGCTAGTAGATCCAAAGCCTCAGACAGGTGGACATTAGAAGGCCGGAGGCCTAGAGCTGGAGTTGGTACTCAGGTACCCACTGACTCCAACAACCCTAAACCCTGGTGCCACCAGCTGCTTCCCATGAAGAGGTCCCTGACTCACACCCTTTGCTCTGTTTCTGAGCACTCAGAGGGAAAATGAGGCCAAGGTCAGAAACAGCAGCTACAGGACCAACTTCTAAAGGTTCACAGACCAGAGAACAGGCGCACGCAAAGGCTGTCCACAGGCTCTGTGAACTGCAGATTCCTTCCCTAAGACAGGCCTCAGAGAGGAGAGAAACAACAGGAGAGGGAGGGGGCTGAGCGCCCAGAAAATCAGCCTCCGCTGGCATGAGTCATCTGTGGCTTCCACATTTCTTAAAAAGCAAAATTCATTTCCAGCTATTAAAATTCCATGATCCAGAGAAACTGAGGAGCAAAATTCAAGCTTGACTCCCCATTTGTCGAAGGGTGTTATTTTCCATTATGATAAATATTTCTCCCACTTCAGGAAGAAGAAATGCAGAATGCCGGATTTTAAGGACCAAAGAAATATACTCTTTGTCTATCAAAGGGCAATGAAAGGCTTTCTTTCCTCGTGTTTACTAGTTTGAATTCTATTTCTCACTCCCACTCATGGTCACAGCTCTGCCTGATGCAAATGACCAGCAGACCCCAGGTTACAAATGAGATCCGTGTTGAAGCGTGGCTCAGAATTCGTAGGGAAGTTGGAACAAGGGTATATGGATTTTATTTAGCCTTGTGTTAGAGCAAGAAAAGCCTAGACGCCTTTTCAATGATTTAAGAATTGCACATGCGGCAAGTGGAGGTGGTTGTGATGAATCTGCTGGGAGTAGGGGTTGGTTCGACTACTTCGAAATGAGGGCCAATTTAGGTGATTCTAAAGGGTCAGCAGGGTGTTGGTGACCGGGGCTGACTGTGTGTGGACGCTGGGCTTTCCTTGGATCCCCTTCAACTGTTAAGCAACCCCAGAGAACACTGAGGCCCCTGTGGGCAGAGTGTCCCCCCCACCCCACAGATGGAAGACCCAGCCAGAGACTCTTCCCTTCCTCTATCATGTGTGCACCAGTGCGATCTGGGGTCGGTTGTCCTCTGAGAAACCAGGCCACCGGTCCTCCCACGGGGCAGCCTTGGAAGCAGCGCAGAGATAATGCACCATGCGGCCTAGCCCGCTCTCACCCACAGAAGTGCCTCCCCCGGACTCCTTACCCAGCTGAAGTCCAGCCTTCGGGCTGGAGGGGACAAAAGGCTCTGCGCTGGCTTCAGGGGCGCCGGGCCCCCACACCTCACGGCTCTCGGTCACCTCCACGCTGATGTCCCCCGTCCCTTTGGGGACCGAGGTGGAGTCACCCACGTTGGCACCCTGGTCCTCAGGGCCGGGGTCCGCGGCCCTTGTCTCCTCACCCATCTTCTCGGCAAACCACTGCTTGAGCTGCTGGGCGTTCATCTGGGTCTGGTCGCAGAGGCTGGGCAGGTCCTCCTCGGACAGCGTCTTGTGCGTCAGGTAGTAGTTCTGCAGCAGCTCCCGGGTCCTGGGCTCGACCACGAGCAGCCCCGGGGGGAAGTTGCCCCGCTTGTAGTCTTCGTACCACTTGAGCTGGCCGTTCTTGAGGGCGTACCTGCTGTCCCCGAACCAGCGCACCACCTCGGGGCGCGGCAGGCCCGTGCGCGCCACGATGGCGTCGTAGTCTTGGTTGCCAGGCCACTGTGTCTGGACAAAGAGCTGGCGCAGCAGGTGCCGCTGCTGGGCGGTCTTCTTGGAGCTGGCCTTGCCCAGGGGCTGCTCGGCCAGCTTGCCCGGTCCGTCCTCGTCCGGCTCCGCGGCACCCAGGCTAGTGCCCAGGCTGGTGCCCAGCCCCATGCACACCCCAGGCAGCTCGTTCCTGCCGTTGGCCTCTGTGACCCGAAGGTTCTTGAGGTTGATCTTGATGGGGGTGACTTTGCGCTCGGCCAGGGAGTGGCCGCTGGGCCCTTCCAGGGAGCCATTCTCCCCGGGGGCCCTGGGGTCGCCCAGCTCAGCGCCCTCGGCCTCGGCGGCCTCCTCCTCCCGGGCTGCGCCCTCCTCGGCCCTGCGTGTTTCCTCGGCAGGCGCGCGTCTCCGCCTCTCTGAGAACCAGCTGTCGATCTCCCGGCGCGTCATCTTGGTCTCCACCCTCAGGCGGTCCAGCTCATCGTCAGCAGGCAGGGGGTTCTGCGCAAAGCTGCTCTCCAGGACCCTCAGCTGCTCCGGGGCGCGCTCCTTGTACTTGCTGGGTGTGAACTCAGGGCTCTGGTGCCAGGACTGGCGCTTGCTGGCAGGGTGGGTCACCAGCGCGGCCCCTGCGGGGATGCAGACCAGCTCTGGGGCCTTGGGCGGAGGCCCGGGGGGCCCCTCGGGCACGGGGTCCACGAGGATGGCGCCCTGTTCACCGGCTGCCATGGGCCGCGGGCCCTTGAGGTTGCGGCAGTGGTAGCGCCGGTCACTGAACCACTTGCGCACCTCGCGGGTGCTCAGCCCTGTCACCTTGGTCAGGTGCTCCACTTCGCTCTGCCCCGGGAACTGGTTCCGGTCGAAGCTGCCCTTCAGGGCCAGCAGCTGCTCGTGAGATTTCTTGTTCTTGTAGATGTTGGCGTCCAGGAAGGCCTGCGAGGTTATGCTGGGACATGCCGTCAGGAGCGACTGGGCGGCGTTCACCACTTTGACGGCGGAGGACGAGTTGGAGCACACGGTGTTGACAGGTGTCACTGGGGGCGGCTTGGAGAGGGACGTGCCTGGCAGGGGAAGAGATGCGCTGGGGGCCTGCAGCCCGTTGGCCATCAGGGGCTGCGTGACCAGGAGTCCCCCCGCCGTGCCCTCGGGCTGGCCCACCACGTGGCCGGGGAGGGCAGCCTGGATGAGATGCTGGACGTTGCTGGCACTGGCCACCAGGGGCGTGTTCAGCACGGTGATGGTGGACTGCGGGGCCGACTGGATGACGGTGTTGAACATCTTCTTGCGGGCGTCCTCGATCTCCTCAGGGGACCAGCTGATGCCCTGCTTGAGCCTCTGGGCCGTGAACCAGATCTTGAGCTGCTCTTCGGGGTACTTGGTGACCACGGTCAGGTAGCAGAGCTCGGCCTTGGTGGGGTAGGGGAACTTGTGGAAGGCGTTCTTGAGGAAGCTGTTGGAGTCCATGGCCGCGTTATAGGTGGGGATACTGCTCAGAGGGATCAACACCTTCGGCAGGGACTTGGAGGTGGGCAGGGGCTGGGGGCCGTGGTGCTGGCCGTGCAGGGGGGGCTGCTGCTGGGACAGGAACTGCGCGATGCCGGCCGGCAGCACCGGGACGGTCCCTACCAGGGGCTCGCTGGCCGCGTGGGGGGCTTTGGCCGAGCTGGAGGAAGCCTGGCTGGCCGGGCCGGCCCCGTTGGGGAAGGAATGGTCCGCCTCTCTCACCTCGGCCTCCCCAGCCGTGGGCTTAGGGGCGGCCTCGCCCACGGCCTGACCCGGGCTCTCCCTGAGCGTGTGGACCTTTTTGGCCTCAGCTCGGCCTTTCATGATCTTCATGATTGGGGTTTTTGTGATGATGATCTCGGCCTGCCCGTCAGTCCCTTCTGCGTGGGGCTCCCCTGGGGGGTCAGGAGTGCTCGTGTCCTCGGGGACGCTCTGCTCCACCAGGACATGATTGTCTGGCTTGGCCACATTCCACACGAAGCTGGCCTCTCCCATGTGACACTTGGCATTGTGCAGGGACAGCCCCTCGGGGGTTTTTGCCAGAAAACTGCACTCCGTGCAAACAAAAATGGGGTCTTTGTTAAAGTCAGTGTGCTCCGAGTTCATGTGTCCCACAAACTGGGCTATGTCCTGGGATCGAAAGTCACAGTATTTACAGGAGTACGAGTAGCCGTCCAGCACGCTCCGGTGCCCGTTGGCCAGCGCACTGCCCTCCGTGCCGCTGGAGGCCGGGGCCATCTCGCTGCTGGGGGCTGGTGCTTCAGGGGCCGGGTCCTGCTGGGGACCCTCGGGCAGAGCCTCCACAGGCTGAGCCGCCACGCCAGGCCCCTGCAATGCCACCATCTTCACGGGGATCATGCAGGGCGTGGTGGACTTCCTCTTGCTGGCCATGGTGACGGCCGCTCCGGTGCCCGGCCGAGAGCGCTCTTTCCAGCAAAGGTGTCAAGGAGCCGGTTCCAGCGCGGCCATGAGGGCCAGGGGAACAGTCCACCACGTCCACCGCGGCTCCGTCAGGGGTCGGCAGACAGCTGCTCTCCTCTACCAAACCTGCTGAGGAAGAAACACAGCGATTAGTGCTTGATCACTACGCAGACACACTGCCTGCTGGCCAGCTCGTCCAGGCCTCTTCACAGGAAGCCGGGCCACAGCTTGGATGGGGTTAGGGAGCCCCATCCTCTCACAAAGCAGCACCCCAAGAATGTCCTGGGCCATTCTAACCCCATTTGATGGACTTAATCTTATTTTGGTTTTTCTTCTTTCATGTCTATCTTTGCTTCACAATTTTAACTCAAAATAGAGGGGGGGGGAACCCCAAACAAACCTCTTTTGGGGGGGGATCTTAAAATTCATTCTGACCATGCCAGAGTGGGAACAAATGATGAAGGGTAATTCTTGTGTGAATGTCTGGGCCAACCAGAGTTCCCATTTTCCCAGCCTTCCCACACAGGAAAGCAATCCCACTCCTGATGACCTGTGTGCGTAGAATAGAAGTTATCCCAAAGCTGGTGCTATTCCGAAGTGGACGGGCAGATCTTTCTCCTGGGGTAGCCTTGCTTGAGTCTGAGCCTGCAACTTTTCGATTAGCAGTCAAGCACTTCTTAGCCATCTGAACTATAAAGATCCTTAAGAGTGTAACAAGACAGTGCAGGAGGAGGATGGGTCATCTCCTGCCTCTGAAACCCCGCTGGAGGGTGAGCTACGTGTTAGTTCCGACTCGAAGGTACACAGCACATAGCATAGCTCCTCCCGGGCGGAGAGCACTGGGACCAAGCGTTAACCTGGGGGCGGAGGGTGCTGCTGTGACCGTGGCAGCTGCCCCAGGCCCCAGGCCGCTCCCCGTGCTGCCTGCTGCCCTGTCCTACCATCACTGCTGCAGGCCACACGGATGTCCACTGGACCACTGTCACAAACAAGACCCAAAGGCCGAATGTTCAGGGGCTCCTCGGGCCCCAGCTGTGTGGCCTGTGGCTGGACAAGCTCTCAAATCGTGTTTGCTTTTTTATTTTTAAATTTTATTTTCCCTCGTGTCTCTTATTGTTCCTTAAAAACCAAAATAAAAAAAAAAACCCACACCACAGCAAAACCAAAAGCCCGAAACAAAGTCAAGCCATCCTCTTAAATCTTTAATCAACTCGAAATGTATTTTAAAAGCTAGTGTGATCAAGTTCTTTTACCTGCAGAATTACTATTATAATAACTGCACCATGGTTCATTGCTCTGATCCTTAACACTCCTACCAACCTAAGCATCATATCTTCCTTTTCATCAGGTTATAATGCTGCTGCTGACGGAAACAATTCTAATATTAAAATAAAATCATCATTATATTTCAATTGGATATGACAATTCAAGAAAATCAAAATACCTCTATTCAAATTCTCAGTAAATAAACATAACACAATTAATTTTTGTAAGCATTGCCATAATGCTTATGAAGATAGTAATAAGGAATAGGAATTATTATATTTACATAAATATATGCTGGATCTAACCATGTCATTTTCCCTCATGGTTCTGAAATGTGCACAGACTTACATTTCTTTTCATTGTCAAAATAAAATATTAGCATTTAGTGAAATCTGAGAAAATAAGATTATAAATTTTGCCCAGCTTTCCATTCAGTCAAACTATTTTACACATTTTTGTCCCCTAGGCTGTTGCCATGCTTTCAGCAGAGTCGTCTGCCAAGAATAACAGCGCTGTTTCCTTAGCCAAGGTTCACGGTCACTGTCAGTACACCTGTGAACACACCAGTCAAAAGAAGCGGGCAGGTACAGCGGTGGTGGCTAACTTTATACGTGTTTTTGACACAACCAAACATTGCCTCTGAGTTGGTTCCAACTCATACGCCTTCCACCCTGCTTCCGAGGATGTAAATCTTTGTGGGAGGAGAAGGCCCTCAGAGGGGCCGGCGGGTTCAAATAGCGTAACTTCACAGGTAGAATGTTTGGTAGCCAAGTATATAGTTCAGTGAACGTCTACCACCCCTCGCCCATCAGAAGAGGTGATCTGCCCAAATGCTGCTCTTCTACGTGGAATCTGCACATATCACATGTCCTCCTATCCACTCACTTCCTGGGGCTAGGTAGACAGAAGTGGAGTTAGCAGTCCTCAGAGCACAATATTGATATTTTCCTTCTATATAACTGGCAAACAGTTACAATCAAGTGCTTTATACTTCTAAATTAGAAAAAGTGGGTAGTCACCGAGACTTGTTCCCTTAATGATGTTTTTTTCATGTCAGCATCTACAGCTTTATCTACTACAGTGTTTGAAGCCGCTGCCACTGCCTGTCACATGCCCCATAATACTTTGTCCATCTCCTGTTAGAAAGGATTTGCATTTCTCTGGTATACCAGTTATAGCAAATAATGGCTCAACAATGGTATTCTTGTCCATATTTTTTACCATTTGACAATTTCTTGGGACGGTGGAGGGACAGCGCAGGAGGGGAAGGCCCTCTATGAGGTGGATCGATTCAGTGACTGGGGTAATCAGGGTGGGAGTGTCTGAGACAGTGCGATAGGCACAGGGCAGAGCAGGGTTTAGGGTTGTTGTACATAGGGTCGCTATGAGTCATAGGCAACTCGACGGCACATAACAACAAACAACAACAACAAGTAAACTGCTGTGGTAACATGCATGTTGTTGTTGTTTAGTGCCATCAAGTTGTAGACAACTCATAGTGACCCTATGAACAAAAGACTTGAACATTGCTTCTCCAAGTTCATAGAGTTTCCAGAGGCAAGCTATTTCGGAAGTGGATGCCACTCCTGCTTCTAAGTTTGTTTCAGTCGGTGAGCTCCACCAAGCACTGTCCACCATGGGTAACCATCATCGTCACAGTGTTTAGCATCACAGCAACCACGAGTTACCTCTCCAGCAAATGGACAGACAAGGGCTACACCACTTAGAAGGACCAAAAACAATTAAAACCAGACCTGAGGGCTGCAGATTAAAGTCACCCACTTTTGGCTTAGTAGCCTAACTTTCTATCTGCTAGGCCAACAGAGCTCTCTCTCTCTGTTGGTGTTGGTAACATTGCTTACACATTTAAAATACTGGCAGCGAAATTCCAAACTGTCTTCAGATAGATTCTACCTGTTTTCACTCTCCCACGGATGAATGGTGCTCTCCTTATCAGTACTGTGAATATTTTTTTGTTGTTAGATGCTGTTGAGTCAACTATGACTCAAAGGGACCCTGTGAACAGCAGATCCAACCCCTGCCCTATCCTGCGTCATCCTCACAGTGTCCACGATGCTCACGCCTGTTGTAGTCACCGTGTTAGTCCATCATGCTGAGGGTGTTCCTCTACTTCCTAGCCTGTTGCCATTTCCAAAGGACTGGGACCTCCTGACATGCTCAAAGTATGTGAGAGGAAGTTTCCTTCTAAGCAACAAGCACCCTGGGTTGTGCTTCCTCCAAGACAGATTTGTTATTTTGGCAGTCCACGGGATAGCCAACACTCTTTGACAGCACCGCCACAATTCAGAGGCATTAACTCTTCTGTCTTCTTTATTCATTGTCCAGTTTTCACATGCATATGATGCAACTGAAAATGTCATGGCTTGGGTCAGACACACCTTAGTCTTTAAGTTGATATCTTTGTCCTTTATCACTTTAAAGAAATTTTTCTTTTAAATTTTATTTTATTAATTGTAATGAACATTCACAGAAATTTTGGATTTCCATTCATTTGTTGTTGCATGTTTCTCCCTGTCCACCCCTCCCCCTGAAATCTGTTAACATTTTCTTGTGTGCTTACTCCAATCAAAAATGCCCAAGCACTAGTATCTTTGAGACTAAATAAAGCTAAAGACTATTACTAAGCCCTCTATTTCTCCAAACTTCAAATTAATCTATTTCATGTTTCCTAGAAACTATTTTTGTAAAGACCCTCCTAAGTTTTGAGATATTATTAAGTAATCTTTGACAGCTTGATCTCCCAAAGCAAAACATCTGTCAGTTTCCTAACTACTGCTCTAATAGGTGTAGATTGTGGACTCAAGTAACAATAAGTCACCAACAGCTTCACTCTCTCTCTCTATCATGTTGCACTGCTGGTTCTGTTGTAAGGATTTGTTTAGTGTTTGCTTATTGGTGGCCACGTGGGTAAGGAGTTGTGCTGCCAACACACAGGCAAGCAGTTCAAATCTACCAGCTGCTTCAATGAAGAAAGATGGGAAATCGCCTCTCATGTAATTAACAGTCTCTGAAAACCTGCTGGAGGGTCACTTATGAGTTGGTTTCAACTTGAAGGCACACAACAACAAAATTTTAATACATTAAATAGTCGACTACTATCATCTTAATTTGTGTTCTTAAATGAGTTAGACTGAGAATCTCTCGATATATACATCATTAACCAATTTGTAGTAAATGATCTTTGTTCCATTTTTCTATGAGATTTAAGAGTTCTGCTTCAGGCCATGGTCTTTGCAATTACTTGCTATACATCAGAAAGCTGGACAGACAATGATTAAGGATGAGAGAAGAATTAATGCCTTTGAGTTGGGGTGCTGAAGAAGAGTTGGAATATACCACAGACTGCTAGAAGAACAAACAGGTTCATCCTGGAGAGGGTGAAACCAGGCTGCTCCTTGGAGGCAAGGAATCTGAAGCTCCGTCTGACATAGTTTGGGCATGTGGTCAGGAAGGATCAGTCCTTGGAGAGGGACATCAGGTTTGGGAGGGTGGAAGGACAGCACACGAGAGGAAGACTCTGGATAATAGAGACTGACTCAGTGACTCGGGTAATGAGGGTAGGTGTGTCAGAGACAATGAAGTTGGCTCGAGCAGGGTTCAGAGCTGTTGTACATCAGGACTCAACAGCACATAATAACAACAATTTGTCACAAAGCTACAATTCGTGCCATGAGGGTAAGGAT